TTTAATCTAGTTGAAAATAAATGGTCGTCTGAAGGAATGATATCTGGAGAATACGTCAAATATGGCAGGACTTGCAGCTCAGTTGAGTTTTCTGTGTTGCAAACATAACAGTTGGTATTGTTGGAAAGAATAATCACTTTACTGGAAACAAAAGCTATTTATTTTGCTCCACTCAGCACAACTTTTTCGATACACAATTTTGCAATTCCGAAAAGACTTCTTTAATTGCAGTGGCGAAAGATGGTGGATAAAAATGTTTTCATTAAAAATATGTTTTATTTATAATATATAAGTATATAAATACATAAATATACATTATGTTACGTAGTATACAAAAACACATATATTGTTATAAATCAGTGCTCGGCATTAGCTGCACATTTTGGGCCGATTCCTGAAGTGACTCTCCACTACCGCCCAAAACTCTGCGAGCGCTCTGCGAAGTCCTGAGGCTGAAGTCCCGTGAGGCATATTTCCCGCGTAATTGCCAGTCGCGCGTAACCAATCAGAAACGATCTGCTGTATCGCGATTCTCGCCAAGCAAATCGCTTCTGATTGGTTACGCGATGCGCGGCAACTGTGCCTCACTTCAAGTTGAACCGACGAGAGAGAAAGACCGTTAAATATTATGACGATCTCGGACAGACTTAAAAGAGCTTCGAAATATCAATAGATAGTTGAACAAGCAGTTAGTCTGATCGAAAGCACTTATCGTGTTATACGTGTCTGAAGGAAGCACATTATAATAAAACAATTCTATGCAAAATTTATAAATGGATTCATTCGATTGTTTGCGTTTCGATATACCGCATACGGCGGGTATGCTGCAGAATGAGCCTGGCTATCCGTCGACCAGTAGAGAAGCCCGCAATGTATTGGATTCACCACCGAAAAGTTGTGAGCTTAAATATCTTGAGCAGAGAAATGCGGAGGAATCGCTACATAAAAAGTGGATGATACAACGAGCGTATTTAGAAAAAATGTTTCAGAAGAAGATAGGGGAAGACATAAAAGTGGAATCGAGCGTCAATCGTGTCAAGTTTATATATAAATATGAAGCACACGAGGTACTTGGAGAGACGAATTTTCAATTCAAGATAATACTCTTATATCGCAACTTGTTGCGCAAATGGTACCTCAGTTCAGGCTACTCTTTCGTGCCGGAAGCGATAGATCTCAAAAGCAAATTTAAGACATTTAAGTCTGGCACGTACCACCCTTTGTCGAACGAAGTATTGAATATAATTAAGGACGTGAGATGTGAGATAGACGTTTTCATGGCTCGTCTCACCACCGTGTATCAGTTCGTGGAAAATGCGCTAATGAGACACAAGGATATGCAATTTTTTATGAATGCAATCGTCACGGAGATGAAACAAACATTTATGGAAAACGCGTGGCCAAATCGTCTACTAAAATTAAGCCTTCGAGATATAATTGTTGTAAAATTGGAGTTGGATAAAGATCTTCAAGTTTCCAATGCCACTTACGAATATACATATCAAAAGCCATCTCCAATAAAATATGTGGACGAAAATCTGAAGATCTTAGGCACAAAGATGCAGTATTTCTTTGATTTTCCTTTGGAAGAAGCGTTTGAAAGATTTATTGCAGAGGTAGAAAGGTCCTTAAGTTTACAAGAAAACTCTTTGAATTTACAAGAACGAGAAAGCGCCTCAAGTTTACGAGAACAAGAAAGCTTCTCGAGTTCAGAGCAAGAAAGCTCAACTGGATTGTTGACAATCTAGTTATTACATGAATTTAATTGTTTCTTTATATTTAAGCTTTTTGTTTTTATTTACATTTATTTTTCATTTTTTTTATTTATTTTATTTATTTTTATTTTTCTAATTTATTATTAATGTTTTTGTTTTCATATTAATAATTTAAAAAAAGGAAAAAATAAAGAATTAACATTCAAATCAACAATAAATAGATATGTAAGGAATTAATGAATACAGATTATATCTATTCATACTTTTTGATTTATGGTACATTTGTTTACATTCTCTTCGGAAAGTAGTAGTTTATAATACTTTATTTATTATACATTCGCTTCTGTATTTTCTTTTCTTTCTATAACATAATATTATGATGTGTCCTTAAATTTTTGTAATATACAAATACACGAATAATTTGATTTATAAAAAGTATAAATCTAAATGAACTTTACGTTTGAAGTGATAACTTTACGTTATAAAAGGCATTCTCGAATAAAAGATGTGGAAGAAAATCTAAACAGGTTAGAAACAAAGTTGCAGTATTTCTTTGATTTTCCTTTGAAGGAAGCGTTTGAAAGATTTATTATAGTATAAATCTAAGTGAACTTTACGTTTTGTTAGTTTTGCAAAGTTTAAATCAACGACCTGGCCAACCAATGAATATGCCTGGCATGCAGAACAAAATGCCAGGTATGGGTATGATGCCGTCGCAAACTGGCGGTCCAATGAATCACATGGGCCCGATCCAAACTATGCAAAACAATCCCATGTTGTCTCAAATGAATCAGATGGGACAGGGAAATATTCCTCCACAAATGAATCAAATGGTGCCTGGGCAAATGGCCCAATTGGGCGCTGGACAGATGCAACAGAATATGCAGGTACGCATATCTGTTAAATAAGTTATATAAGAGGAACGTATAAAATGGCTAAAATGCGAAGGAAGGTTGAGACATTGACCTTTTATTTTTATTACAGACTCAGATGCAGAATCAACTACCAGGTCAAATGAACAATCAAATTACGGGGCCAATAGGCAATATACAGACTAGCATGCCGCAACAGATGAATCAAATTGGTCCTGGACAATTAGGCCCTGGTCAGATGCAGCAGCAGTTAAATCATATTCAAAGAAAAGTATGACACACTTTTTAATCACATTCTCATTACCGGATATTGCCATCATTTTTCATTAGTGTCTTTATTCATCGATAATATTCTATTGATACAATTGCCATTTCCGTTTGTAGCCAGGTGAAATGATGAATGCTGGATTTCCTGGCCCACGTAACGTTACGCCTAATCAGTTCTTGAGGCAGAGTCCATCTCCTTCAGCTCCAAGTCCGGCTGGTTTGGGCGCACCATCGAGGTAATATTAACATACTTTTTAAACACAATTTTTAAGATTATATAACAGAAATATAGAGGAATCTTTCTTTACGACATAATAAAACGAAAGATAATATTTCCACAGTAATCAAATGGTAGCCTCGCCCGCTCTAGTACCATCGCCAAGTCCTCAGCATGCCATTATGACAGGACCAACTCGTTCTGTAAATTCCGCAGGTAAGTTCAGATAATCGAGAAGTAATAAACATAGAAGGTAAATATAAATAAGAGGAAACAGTAGAATTATTAAAATAATACGTTGAACTAGGTATGGCACCGTCTCCAAGCAGTTCGTTAAATACCCCCGGCGGTGTGGGCGCTACACCAAGTCCTCAGCAAGAAGATCAGGCTTACAGAGACAAAGTCAGACAGTTGAGCAAATATATAGAACCATTACGAAGGATGATTGCCAAGATGAGCAGTGAAGGAAGTAAGGAAATATAATTATATGATTAATACAAATAATAATATACAATTAATGTTAAAATGTATGTATATATCAAGAATCAAATTTTTTTTCAAAATATTAAATAGATTTTACTTAAAAATAAAAAGTGTGAAAATTAATATACTAAAAAATAGTTCAAAATTACAAATATGTAGAATTATTTTTATATAAATCTCAGCATAAAGAAAAAAATGACGCGTTTTTTATATTATTATTTTTATTTATATTTATCCATTTTCTATTCGCAGATGTCGATAAACTCAGCAAAATGAAGAAGCTCTTGGAAATTCTGTCGAATCCCAGTAAACGTATGCCGTTGGATACATTGTTAAAATGCGAAGTTGTCTTGGAGAAGTTGGACTTCAAGAGAGGGGACGGAAGTGTGGGGCCACCAGTAACGACGTTGAAGGAGCACCAAATTTTCAGCCCTCTGCTAGAAGCCGTAAGCGCGCATCTCCAAAGTCCAGTAATCAACCACACGTTGCAGCGCACTTTTGGACCATGCTTGGATGCCTTGTTTGGACCAGAGATAAAGTAAGAACTCGTGTATATAAAAATAGTCTACATTTTATTTTATTTAATAAGTTTACAATCAAATTGCGAATGCATTCTAAAGTCTATAAATTTTAAAAAATAGAAATTTGCCACCACCCTTGAAGAAGCAAAAAATAGAGGAATCATCCAGCGAAATACCAGACGTCCTACAAGGAGAAATAGCTAGATTGGATCAACGATTTAAAGTATGTAACATTAACTTTTAAGCTTATTTATAATTTATTATATATATTTTTTATTAAAAATTTATGTTTGCTGTTTGTTTTGGACACATCTCACGCGTACTTTTTGCCCATAAAAATATTCTAAGTCTATCGTTTAGAAATATAATTCACGAATTTTGTTAACATTTTTTATGTATAAAAAATATTAGTGTACCAAACTATGCATTTTGTCTCTGCCTTATAATAAAAGTTTGCCTTATTATAAAGGTTTATATAATATTAATTATTATGCAATTTTTTTTCTTATTTCAGATCAGTCTAGACCCGGCCCAGCAAAGTGGATCAAAATGCATACAATTGATATGCTGGCTCGACGACCGTCATCTTCCGTGTGTTCCACCGATCTCTGTTACGGTTCCGGCAGACTATCCTTCAACGCCACCTCGTTGCGTCATGGCACGGCACGAGTACGAGGCAACGACATTCCTGTGTGCTGTACAAAAGGCCTTAAACGCCCGCATCGCGAAACTACCGCGTCGTTTTTCGCTTTCTCAACTATTGGACACATGGGAGATGAGTGTGCGACAAGCCAGCGCACCAAAGGAAACTTCTATTACTGCCAGTACAGTTCTGATGGGTTTATAGTACAAATTGCATAAACATTCAATAATATTAAAGATAGATCAGTTAATCATAGTCGGAAACGTAAAGCAATAACGGTAAAAATGGATTTACTACTTATATATTATTGCTTACGTTTTCTATGTGTCACTGGTCTTATGCAACTAGGTTATTATGTTCATAATGTTCAAAAATGTTTATTCAACTAGGTTATTATGTTCATAATGTTCAAAAATGTTTAAAAAAATAAATAAATACAAAAATCTGTAATACCACAAATTCTTTGAAATTGTAATTTTCTTACATAAATTCTTTGTAACAAACATAAATTCTTTGAAATTATAATTTTCTTACATATAAATATATATATATATTTATGTATATATCCATATATGTAAATATAAATATATAATATAAATATATGTCATAATAAAATACATCATAATAAAATTATGTATTTCACTGATTTTATATAGATAGATTTCTGTAAAATCTTCGGCAATTCTACAAAATTACAGATTGTATTAATAAATATATAAGAAATATATATGTCTATATACAATTTTACAAAAATTATTGTAATATATAACACATATACATGCACATATACACAATTATATATTGCATTATTTTATATTTATTATGTACACAGTATTATCATTAGACATAATGACAATACTAATGTGCAATAACACAATTGTAATACTACAAATTATAATACTTATATATTTATAATACAAATGCTACACGACATATTACATAAAAATAATATCAAAACTACGTTTTAAAAATACAGATTTTATAACTGATCCTTTTATATGGTATATAAAAAAAAGAGCAAAAAGAACGTGTTATCAAAAATACCAAAAACAAATAATTCTTGAAAACTGTATAGAAATTTTATGTATGTAGATTGTGTATATGTATGTATATTTCAACGTCAACTCTGACAGATTTAAATTTTAGAAGTATGGTATGGCTGCGCTTGGTGAACTATCTCATTTGACAATAGATCTTCAATTTCATTAGACTGAAATTTGAATTCAGTTAAGATTTCTATTGTGTGTTCACCGATTTGTGGATTTTTCTGTGATCCAAGAGAGATGCCGGGTGTGCGAGATAAACATGGAGAAGGATTTGGAATTACATCGTCTCCTACGGTCGTAAATGTCTGCCTCTGCTTATTGTGAATATGTGACGAGGCGTCCTTCAAACTTAGCATCGGTGTCACGCATGCATCAGTGCCGTCGAATATAGCGCACCATTCCGCCTGTGTTTTCGTCTTGAAAATTTCCGCAATTCTGCAACGATTTTCCTCGAAATTGTCGTACTGCGGTATCTCGTCGCTCGAGAGACCGAGCTTCTCCAGGAAGATGTCATAAAACTGTGGCTCGAGCGCTCCAACGCACATGTAAAGTTTATCCTTCGTCTCGTATGTATCGTAAAAATGCGATCCTGTGTCCAAACTGTGTGGGAAAAGTAATTATTAAAACAAAAAAAATGTTAAAAGGAAGACAAAAGTCAAAAACACTGTTTTTTCAAAGAAGCCCTTACATATTTCTGCCGCGTGGATTTCCCCATATACCCATTTTTTGGGATCTGAATAACCAAGATCCTAAGTATGCCGATCCCTCCACCATCGATGCATCTATCACCTGTCCGACATTGCTCTTGGTTCGCTCATATAACGCCAACATTATTCCAAACGCGCACATTAAACCACCACCACCAAAATCAGCAGCCAGATTGATGGGTGGTGTAGGTTTCTCACCATATCGGCCGAATAAAGACAGTAATCCTATATTATATAACAATTTATATCACAGTCTGATCATAGAATAACTTATTGATGAAGGAATAATTATGAAAAACTAAAACGTAAAATGTATGAAACCAATTTTATGTGAATATATATATATAAATGAATTATAATATGGATTATGTTATATCATGTCATATATTTTTATATTACCAGATAAACCTAAATAGTTGATATCATGGCCAGCCATATCTGCATACGAGCCATCTTGACCATATCCAGTTAACCTAGCATATATTAATTTCTCATTTGTTGCCATAAGTTCCTTTGGTCCAATCTTCAGCTTTTCCATGACTCCTATTGAATATATATTTGTATAAATAAAACAATTTTATTCTTCGTTATTAATGATGCAGATTAATTATATATTCAAATTTAAGATTAGATATTTCTCTCATTTAAAAGTCTGATTTCAAAGACTATTAAAATTGAATAATAATAATCATGTTCTATGCATATGTACCTCTTCTATATGTATCAATAATAACGTCGCTTTGATCACTTAATTTTTTAAAAATATTAATGCCCTTTTCAGACTTCAAATTTAATGCTATCGACCTCTTTCCATGGCCTAAACAATCTAATGATGCTTGACCTCCAATCTAAAATGATAAGAAAATTAAGATATAAATACCAATAAGAAAAAACTCTTTAATTTAACATTATACTTTTAGAGTTTTTAGACCATATTGTAAATAATATTAACAAGCGTATTAAACATAGTAATGTGACAATATTAATATCCACATGCTATTATAAACTATAAATTTAAATGTAAATTTTAGGAGAATATTCTAATAGAATTTACTTCCTAATTACCTTATCCACTCTGATAACGGATGCCCCGAAATCTGCCAAAATCATTCCGCAATAAGGTCCCGGAGCAAGTCCAGCTAACTCTAGGACCTTGATTCCTTTCAGAGCCATATCACCTCTGTTGACAAATTAATGATATATCAATTATTTGTAGAAAATCAGTTAACCTCATATTTATTCACAATACTTTCATCGCTTGAGAAGTGAAAACTCTAATGAAACATTTGCATCAATTATATCACATATAAATATAATATAATATTTGATTATATTATGTATTCACATAAAATTCTTTTTATTATTTGCTCCCTGTCACAATATTTCTTTACCTCTGTTAACTCTGTTATCAGCAGACTGATTGTACAGTATAAGTTATAATATACAGCCATGACATTGCACTAAAAAACGGACTTTCTTGTTTTTCAATATACAAATCATTTCTATATTTTTTGCACCTTTCCACAGTAAGCACAATCATTTATGTAAGAAAACATCATAAACAGTGACTGCGAGCACAATAATTATCGCGTGACAAGCAAGAGAAAAAAAACAAAATAAAGTGTGTATCCATAACCTCATACAGCGTCATCGATAGCGTAATTCCGCCGTAATTAATATGCACCAAAAAATTTTGATTTTAATTAATGCAATCGGAAAAAAGTGCATTTTAATATTAATAAAAAAAAACATTTCCGTCGCAAACAATTAGTACGAGAATAGAAGAAAAAGTTAAGAGTAGAGATCAGTGTATAATGTATGTAAGCGGATCAATTTACAAATTAATTTGATGAATCAGGATATTTTTTTAAAGAGTACAGCTTTTAATTCTCGCTGTTTTGCGTTTCTTTATTACTTCTAGATTTGTTTTTTTTTTTTTTTTACCATTATTCGTGTCATATTATTCTTCCCATCCTTGCAACGAATTAATATATTCATATTTAATGTTTTAAAGTTCATTTTGCAGTTCTATACATATGTGACGAGTTAAGAATAAAATTGAAAGACTTGATTACACACACTGTTATATACCATATCACATATTTATTATAAAATTTCGTAATGTATCAATGCGAAATTTAACATGATACGTTCGCACTTCGCATACACATGTACACATATATATACATACGTTCTTGATCGATACATGGCGGGGCATACAATTTCGTGAATCGTACGTGGAGCGAGATGTTTCGTAAAATAAACGCAGCTCACAATAAGCAGGTCTAACGTCTAATGCACGCGATTAGATAAATTTACTTTACTTTATATACGTACGCGTGTAACATTACAGGCCTTACGTAACTGGTCGTCGTAACATCCGTTTCTGTTTCCTCATTAAAATTTATAACTTAAAATTAGTGCTGGTCAGTTTATGAATATTACTTAACAGTGTATATATTATATAACCGTTTAAATATATATTAATAGCAATCGATTTGTTACTTCTGGAGCTAACCAATCATCATTTAGTTGTTATACATGTATATAGTTCGTATTTTTAAATTCAACATCGTATATCTAATTCGAAAAATTTTAATATATATGTTAAATTAATTTCTTTTTCTTCTATTAAATTGTGGAATAATTTTTTATTTATTATTGGAGTTTAACTGAAAGTCTGCGTTTACTTTGGCGCTATTACAACTATACCATTTCATCGTTATTTAATTGTTTATCAAATGTTAAAGAAGGACAAATGATGTTCACAAACACCAAATCGAACGCAATCAAAGATCAGAGATCGAGGTGTAAAGTTAAATAACATATGTCATCGCGTATCAACAATGTAGATTAAATATTCAAGAAATTATAAGTCATGCAAAACTGATGTAGTTCAACTATATATTATTATCCCTAAACGTCCAAAATTGATCGCTCAATTTAAATCGATTTGTTATATTTTTAAATGTAAATGAAAAGAGGATAGAAATCAATATTTTGATTAGACAAATATTTGGATCAATTAAAGCAATATATTTGGATTAATTTAATTAGATTTACACTTTATAGATAAATTGAACATTGATCTAATAATAAATCATAAAATTAATGTTATATAATTATTTACTATAATTGCTTAAATTTTAGCAATTACTAAACAGCCACACGCTATATAACTCCCGTAAGGGCGTCGGTTTTTAATAGATAAATGAAATCAATATTTAGATAAACTCGAACATCAATTGGTGATTACCTTGTTAAAACGTGCCGATAGAAACGATCAGCCTATATAATAATTAACGCAATTAAGGATATCTGCACGCGTCACGCGGAGCCGCGGGTCTTCAAAGGCCGAGTTTTGCAGGCGCGGAACGCCAGATGGCTCCGCATTTGGCGCCCTTTTTGACGTCGAAGGGCACCCGAGCGGCCCACCCGACCGAGTCACGGCACCATCACGGCACTTGGCAGTCTTGGATGACATCATGTTTTCACACGGTGTTTGATTGATTTGTTATTTATAATTACTAGCGTATACGAGCCTATGGGTTTTCCCATCGCACGTAGCTCGTTTAGACTCCCCCGTCGTTTTACGGTGTCGTTACGCGGTGTGTTTACTACAATTGTTTTCAGTGTCGTTTTAATTGTGCGCTTTGTCGAAGAGACCGGTTAGATCGCACGAAAAAGTCGCTTACGTTTTTTCAGGCTGATTTTAACTAACGGCTCGATCAGCTGGGCAGATCTGTCAAATCTGCGCTTCACGTCGCGCGGCAGCTCCCGCAATGGCTAATCACGGTACGATAATCAAGGATTAAAGAGGCTTAATATTCCGTTGCACGGAATCACGTACGAGGTTTAGGTTATGTTTAATTCAATTATTTTAGACGAGGACAAAAGCGAGAGTTCCGCCGAAATAAGGGCCGAAAATGAGGGGGAGGAGTCCGAGGAGTCCGACAAGATATGCATTATAGATCCCGAGACCGAAGTGGGTTTTTTTACTGATTTACTTCTGTGTTTTGACTGATTCACTTGTGTTGTCAAACGAAATTTGACGAGTTCTTTAAAAGATATTAATTGTAGATTCTAAAGGCCCTTGCACAATGCGAGGGAACAGCGATAGGAATAACACAGGCGATGTACATGGGCGTCCGCAGGTTTTTTTCTAGAGGGGTGGCATGATCCAAATTTGTAATACGAACTACCGCGAGAAGCGAATGTCCAAATAGTGTAGTTGTGTACCTGTGTTGTATTTTAGCTCTCTCACTTTTGACAAACATATTTTTTATTTGTAAAAATAAGAGAGCAAATTCTGAATTTTCTAGAAATACAAGCTTATACTCGTTTGATTTTGGGGAGGAGGGGGGCAAATGTCCCTCCTTGCCCCTCTCCCCTGTGGACGCCCATGGCAATATAAGTATAGCGATAGGAACAGAGAAATCTAACTCGTCGGAAATTTAATACCATTGCCTCATTCTGTGTTCCAATCTGCATTGACATATTGCATTCTTGAATGTTGGATTGTGCAAGAGGCTTAAGTGCCAAAGTGTATCTCTTATGTCCTTTTCTATCAATATATAGATAAGCTTCAATCTTGGTTTAACTATTTTTTATCTCTTTCTAGTTTTAAAGAATCTATCTTTTTCTTTTAGAATGTTTATTTTTTTGTAGTCCTAAGAAAAGGATAATTTTAAGAAAAGGATCGAGAATAAGTTAAATCGAGATTAAAGTTAATCACGATTGGTCGAAATGGACATTACTGGTTGACTTCTGTCAAACATGCATTTTCAAATTTAGGAATATTGCTGCGAGTACTTTGTCAACGAGATTGCTGTTACACCGATTATTTTAGGAATTGGACTTCAATCACGCGAGATTGACCAAACTGGAAAATCTAGAGCCGTTAACGCAAGTACGAAGATTATGCTTCACGTGGAACCTAATTAAAAAGATAGAAAATCTCGATACGCTCACTAGTTTGGTGGAATTGGAATTAAGGGATAATCAAATCACGACCATAGAAAATCTAGGCGCTCTCGTGAATCTGGAGTACGTCCCTGGTTTTTTTTTAAATTCCGTATAATGGGCGACGCAAATATACGCACGTAATAATTTATGTGTTAATTTCAGATTCCTGGATTTGTCATTCAATCGCATTAAGAAGATCGAAGGGTTGGACAACTTGACGAATCTAGAGAAGTTATTTATATCGTCAAATAAGATTTCGCAAATCGAGAATATCTCACATCTGGCGAATCTTACGATACTGGAGTTGGGCGATAACAAGATACGCGAAATTGTGAATCTGGAAGGCCTCGAGAAGCTGACCAATTTGTATCTTGGTAAAAACAAAATTACCAAAATTCAAAATCTGGAGAGTCTGAAGGACCTCACGCTGTTGAGTCTACAAAGCAATCGAATTACGAAGATCGAGAATATTGAAGAGTTAAAGAAGTTGGATCAGTTATACTTGTCTGAGAACGGCATCACGTGCATAGAAGGCATAGAAAATTGTCCAGGATTGACAACGTTGGATCTAGCTAATAACAAAATTAAGAAGATTCAAAATATGGATCATCTTGAAAGTCTCGAAGAATTCTGGGTAAGATAAATTAATCTACAAACGCATGTGCATCGCGTAATTATATATTATTATAATTGTATACTATTTTATTCAATACGATTCAACATCTGCAGATGAACAATAACGAGATTGAAGATTGGAACACGTTAGAGAGTTTAACAGCCAACAAGAAGCTGCAGACCGTATATCTGGAGTACAATCCCGTTGCGAAGGATCCGAATTACCGAAGGAAAATCATGCTGCTGTTGCCGTGGCTCGAACAGCTGGACGCGACTCTTTGCAAGAGAAAATCCGGTCAGCAGTGGAGAGACTAACAATAAGTAAAACGTAAATAGGAAGTACAACTAAAGAAATAGCGAAAATTATTTATGAAAGTTTCCATACGTGGTGAAATCCAGACATTGCATTGCTGTTACTTTCTTTCGTTGTACCCTGACACGATCATTGTGTAGAAGCTTGGCTACGTAAGATTAACAATAGTACTCATACCGAAGACACGCTTGATATTAGGCCATTTATGGAACTATTCGATGTTGGGGTTTGTTTGGTATAATTTGCTTGAAAACCTTTTTTTTTTTGTACTGGAAAGAAAATATGATAAGTCAAAATATGAAAGTTCTCGTGTCTTTAGGATAAACTGAAACACGTACACAATTCTCTACATATTTCCAAAAAATCTTAATATATTCTTCCTCTCTCTAATCATACATATTATCGTACTGTTGTATTGTGCACATTTCTATCTCTATTTGCACGCATCTTTCTCTGTCGATTATGTTAAGAAGTTAATATAGATGTAGATTTTAAATAATATTCCAATTATTTCTAAGCTATATTTCCGTCTGTGAAAGAAACTTATATTTAACTTCGTTATTTTTGATGATCAACATATTGTTACAAAAACAAGATGTACATGTCTGTATTTTATAGCAGCGCGCGGCAGCTTTTTGTAATCGCCACTTTGTTAACCCGATATCTCGCGATGTAACGCGATTATTGTTACATGTAATCATATACAAGATATTCTAAGCTTATATAAATAAATCAATTATTAAATGTCTCGAACTCGCCGAGAGTCGATCAATCTCGTGGTGCAATTTGCGCTCAAATTGCTACACGTGTGTGGGGCGACAGTGAGGGAATTAATTATATCTTGGATGTTTCCTGTGAAATTAATATCAATTGCCTCGTCATCAACGTGGAATTCAAAGTCATTAACACGGAAGAGTAATTTCATTTACGTCACAAATGTCCGTCGGTGTACTTTCAGCGCACTTTGCGGTTTTTCTTCCTCGAGCCTGCGTGCGCGTCCGCGGTCCATTTTGAGCGCAAAGCTTCGCGGAAAGAATGTCAAAATCGTTGAATCTAAGATCTGTTTTTTTTTTTTTAATAGCTGAATTAGTGTAAACATTTTTTGTACTTAAAGTGATAAATATAAATTTGATATTTAGCGAAAGCGAAAGGAAAATTCGAGTGCAGTCCACAGTTGCAGTAATAGAAAATAAATCTTCGTCGGAATTCGATATTTCCGAATTGCGGATTTACAAAAATGAGCGAATTTACTAGAATATTTACAATTTCATTGGTCAATATCTGGTAAATTTTTTCACTTTTGTAATTTTCATCAAGCTTTGCAATTCACACAGTCGAACCTCCCTTCCGCGCGTTACGAATTTACGCGCCTGCCCACCCAATCACATGGCGGCGGTGGTGTCGCCGATTGACCGCGCGAGCGCCCCCACGCACGTATGCGCGCCGTGACGTCATCGCTCGCCAGCGCTCGGCCGTTCGGCCATTTTGTGTGGTGAATGAGCGCTCTCCGCTTCTCACGGGGCATTTGTGTTGCGGGTTTCGCGCGGCCAGTGGCGGAGATAAGCTCTCGGATGATTTAGTTTTCCGCGTTTAGAGAGGGACACGCACGGCGATTTTACATGCGCTAGTGAAAGGGGGTGCGACCGACCGCTCGACCCGCGTTAAAACACTACTCCCCCCCCCGTCCCCCCTTCGTGCAAAACTGTGGAACAGGTACGATGGAGGATAAGGCGTCGCTCAAGGAACTTGACCAGTGGATAGAACAATTAAACGACTGCAAACAACTGACAGAAAGCCAAGTGAAAACCCTCTGCGATAAGGTACACGCTCGGCCTAAGAGCCACGGCTCCGCCCCGACGTACGCCCGGCCGCGCGAGGGGGGCCCCCCCCCGCGCGCGCGACCGACCGCCGACGGCGACCGCGTCGCGCCTCGCGTTAATTATTCGCGCACGGCTGTCGCGTGTGCCGCGTGTGCGAACGGGAGGTCACGCACACCATGTGTACCGTGCTCCGCGACCTCCCGCTGTCTCGCGTCGCCGTCGTTAAATCTGACGTCGTGTCGCCGATGTGTCGCAGGTTGCCCATCGCGGGGTCCACGCCGCGAGGATCGAGTGCTCCGGGTAACCTCGGGGGTTCCCCCTCCCCCCCCCCGTCGCGTCGTCGTCGTTGTCGTCGTCATCGCGATCGCGATCCCGAATGGTGTCCGTGTTCGATCGCGACGAGCTCGGTCCTCCGAAAGTCACGTTTTTTCGAGGCCACCTTTTGGCGACGATCGGGATTCCGCGGTCCCTAATCGATTGTTCATGTGCGTATACTACGTGTCGTTTTTTTTTTTTTGAACCTGTTAACGCGATTCCGCAACAGGTGAACGCTCCCGTCGTTGCATCGTCGTGATTAATTTGTACGGGTGTACCTCCGCCGAGGTACCTGCGCAATTTGCCCAGGGGGATGAATAGTCTTATCACCGCGCGATAAAAATGACAAATCGCGTGACGGATATGCTTTACAATATCAGCGATAAAATCTGTCATCGCTGTCTTTCCTTTGATTGGAGAGCGTGACGATGAGGAAAATTATCACTTTGCCATGAATCACGCGGTCGCTTTTAGACTGACAAGATATTCTGCCATTGTTTAAACTAATGTGACAAAAAGCAAGAGTTGCAAATTGACTAAAACGCTAGCCAGGAGCTAGCACAGAGGCTAGCCTCTGGTCACTGTGGCATTCCAGCGAACCGGAAAAAGATGTCAATATGAAAATTCTAAAAAGCAGTGCAATATTCTCTCAAAGGATTATTCAAAAAAAAAAAAAAAAAAAAAAAAAACTGATTTGATTACTCTGAGATTGGATTTTAGCGTTTCTTGAGTTCTTAATAGACTGAGCTAAATGAAACGAGTATTTTTGAATGAATCTAAATTTAGACGTTTCAAGATGGTATTATAGCTGCGACATTCTTTACAATAATGCTTCACCACGTTGTACTCGTACGTTATGCCAGTTGGCGCCGAAGCGTCTGGTTTTCTAAATGTATGCCAGTAATTAAATCTGTAATTGGCAACGGAAATTCGCTTGTTGAGGGGAATTTCTGTTTGCTCATTGAGAGATAATTTCCAATTACAAACGGACGTTAAGATCTGATTCTACTTGATAACTTTCTTATCACATTAGTTGATACAGATATTTACAATATTATCATATTGCGTATCTGTAAGATTTTTTGATTAAAATAGGGAGAGATTTAAATACTACACGCGTCATATTATGTATGTAAGGCATATACCGTCTCGTATTGTAGATGTACTTGTTTTAGAGAGATTAACTACTTCTTTTTATTTCCAATTGTTTTAAAACAGCTATGCGTACATGTGTCTCAGCAGTGGTATCTCATAATACTTAACATTTTCAGGCGAAAGAAATTTTAGCTAAGGAATCAAATGTACAAGAAGTAAAATGTCCCGTAACGGTGTGCGGAGATGTACACGGGCAGTTCCACGATTTGATGGAACTGTTCAGAATAGGTGGCAAATCACCTGATACGAATTACCTTTTTATGGGTGACTATGTTGATCGTGGCTACTATTCGGTCGAGACTGTCACTTTGCTCGTAGCTCTTAAGGTATAGTACAATTTTATTGAATTATTATGGCTTTGACAATAATCTGTGGATTAATATACGTATTGCATTTAATTGTATGTATATACAATTTTTCCTTGAACAGATACATTTATTTCTCTTCCCTTTTTGCTGTTTGTTTTGTATAATTAAAGGTGAGATACCGGGAAAGAATAACCATTCTACGAGGCAACCACGAATCGAGGCAAATTACACAGGTGTACGGATTTTATGATGAATGCTTACGTAAATATGGGAATGCCAATGTATGGAAATTCTTTACGGACTTATTCGATTATTTACCATTAACGGCGCTGGTCGATGGCCAAATATTCTGTTTGCATGGTGGTCTGTCGCCGTCGATCGACACCTTAGATCACATACGTGCTCTAGATCGTCTTCAAGAAGTGCCACACGAAGTTAGTATTTGCACTTATAATTTTTATTAAAACCTATTGTAATAATTTAATCGTAAATTGTATTGTAATATGTAATTGTATTGTAATTGTTGTTCACAGGGTCCCATGTGCGATCTGCTTTGGTCAGATCCAGATGATAGAGGAGGATGGGGTATTTCACCCCGCGGAGCGGGATACACGTTCGGTCAAGATATTTCAGAAACGTTTAATCACTCCAATGGGCTGACACTCGTGTCACGGGCTCATCAGTTGGTTATGGAGGGTTACAATTGGTATGAATAGTTGTATATTTCGCAAGCATGTATATATAAATAGGACGGTATCATTGTCATTTACCCGATTTTGTGTGTGAATCGAGTTAGAATGCATCATCCCTATCTTACTATTTACATTATTTTGCCGATCACATTAACGTCTTGTATATCTCTTTGATTGAACTGTTCTTTTTCTTATATTAAAGAACTGAAGCAGAAAATTAAAACAGAAGTTAATCTCTAAAACCGGGAATATTAACGAATAGTACGAAGGCACGATCTGCGAATATACATATATTTTGTTTTAAAATATTTTTTTTTCTATCACACGTATATAGATTTATTCAGGATATTTTATAAGAAATTTATAGTATTTAATATCACTTATATGATGTGTGTGTGTTATTCTTTCAGGTGTCATGATCGCAATGTCGTGACTATATTCTCCGCACCTAATTACTGTTATCGTTGCGGTAATCAAGCTGCAATCATGGAACTGGATGATGCTTTAAAATATTCATTGTGAGTGTGATTTTAGTACATTTACGTTGTGACGTAATGTTTATTTGCAATTTGTTCTATTGATCTATTTTTTCTATGTTCTATTGAATGCATTCAAATTTTTCTAAATAAATCTATGATAAATCAAATCCTTAAATGTATAATAATCATAAACGTATTTTTACGTATGCCACATTATATTTTTTGTATTGTTAAAAGACCTAGCTAATACAATTGAAGAAGTTACAAAGTATAGTGTGCAACTTTGCTGATACGAGATTGTTGATTTTCCTTTGATCTTTTTTGTTACAGCCTACAATTCGACCCAGCACCAAGACGTGGAGAACCACATGTTACCAGGCGAACGCCAGACTACTTCCTCTAAAGAACTAGACTTCAGGGCTAAGTGTCAAGGTAGGGGAAATGGAAAAACGCGATCTTGACTTTATAGTGATGCCAGACAACATAACTTACAATAGAACATCGCTAAATGAGTGTGAGGCTCCGACATGTTTTCACACGTACCACATATAGCCCCAAGTATTATATCATGGCTCACTTTGTGGTCTCATTGAGAGATAGAATAGATAACACGCACGTTTGGTGCGTGCCTTACATGATACATGTAGACACAACATTACTTGTACACTAAAAAGGAAGAAAAATAATACAATAATGTACACACGTATCGATTAAATTCACTTGTAGCATTGAGTTTTACAACGTTTATTATATCCGCTTGTATTTTTATTATAAAAGAAAACTGAATATATATAATAATGCACACGTTTGCGCGTAATAGGTAGAAACAAAAAAGTATATCGGAAAAAAATGGTATTGTTTTGTAATCTTGAATGAGAATATTAAAAACTCGGCGAGAGAAAAATTTATATAAAAACGAGGCAACATCGTGTGTATTCTAATCGATCGTGCGTTCTAAACGAAGTTTAGTAATTGTCATGCAAGATTCCAAGAAAATACATCAAAATGGTCATAATTTATATTTAAGAGAGTGTCACGTTATTATTAGTGTGAATGGAGCATGAATTGTTCCACTTGAAGGAAATACAAGGTGAGTTGATGCAACAGTAAATTTGGCATGCATAAATTGTGCCATATGAGGATTCAATAAATATAATTTCCAAGTAGAAGGTTTATTAAAAGTTTTAATATGGCATTACACATACGAATTCATCAGAATCATGATGAGCAATTTCGTTTCGTTAGAATTACAGTCACTTCTATACAGTATTTATTACTTTTTAAGCAACTGAAATAGAGTTTTATCTAAATGGTATAGAAATCCGCAAAGGGTGAATGTAAATCTCATTCTCGTCGATGTAGCTTTCTTATTAATCCATAATATTATTTTCGCGAAATAATACGCGTATGTACAATAAAAGAAAAATCGATGAGAGTCACATTTACATTCGCACTTGAAATATTTTTACTTTATTTAGGTAAAATGATTATATTTAATACTGTACATAAAATTTAGTTGATTTGATTTATTTTTATATCATGAATTTGTCTAGTAATTGTAAACTGCAATATAAAAAGGAGTTACACTGGTTACTGATTATAAATGACAATTAAAAGAAAAAATACGACACTTTTGCATCAATTCTATCTGCCTTCTAAAGTGAAACACGTACTTTATATCGAGTAAATGCATGCATTCATGATTAAATTAAAAGGAAAATTGATTGCTTGTAAACCCATCGACGAACCTTTTTACTAATTAATACATATAAAATGATGCTTCTGGTAAATAAACATGTGTAATGCAAGCCAAAGCAACCCAACATCAAATTTTATATTCAATTTATGTTAAATGCAGGAGCAATTTGTGTACGACGAACAACTAAAAGGAAAAAAAAACAAGAAACACACGTGAGGATGTATGTATAAGAATAAACATTGCAATTCGAATATCATGCATAATGAAGCAATTACAATAGCGACAAGGGCGACAAGGCGAACGTGAAAATGTGTTAGATGCACATTATAGCAATTTAACTAAGACTGTAAAATCCATACAGCACAGGATGCAGCGCGGAGTTAACGCGAGCCTTCTGCACAATGCAGGCTGAGCATTTTTTTTCGTCTTTTTTTTCCGTTTTCTATTATACAAATATACGTATATACATAATATTCTCTAGACTACAATAATAAGAATAAATTTTCCTATAGAACAAAAATGCACTTGTAGTATTATATATAATGCGACGGAATTTAAAGGTATGGCGAAGGAATAATAGGTATCAGCAATTATTATAGCTAATTTTATATCTGCTCTATTTATTGCCCTCTCACTGCATACCGACCTTCATACAACGGATGAAATTAATATGAAAATACTGAAACACTAATGGATAGTTGTTTTCAGTGGAAACATGCATAGTACCTCAAATATCTACATGAATAATTATCATATTTTGATTTCATATTAGCGTGAAAAATACTGGGAAGCTATTGTACAGGGTGCCCCATTTTAATGGGGAAACAAATACTTAAAAAACTAATGAATTTACACAAAAATGGTTTACACAAAAATTATTTAATTCTGAGCACATCTTATAGATTTGTTTTCAAAATCGTTTTCGAAATTTAATTACCTTTTTTCAGAAACTTTATATATATTTTATTTTTAATTAAATATATATAAATAATATATATAAACATTAAATATATATATATTTTTTTTTCTTAATTTAATTAATCAAATCTTATACTTTATAAGTAAAACTATTAAGATAATCGAAAAGTGAATGCTTTATACTTTAGAAACGTCTATACTTTATTGTGATACATTCTGATATAAAAATAATTTACATTATAATCTAAATTTTGCATAGATTATTTTGTGTAAATCTGTTTATTTTTTAAATATTTGTCTATTTTCATTAAGGCAGAACACCTTGTATTCTTAGAAACCCATTTATGCATTCAATATTTTTTGTTGATCTAATTTTTAAAAAATACCCTCGAATATATACTGTATAAATTGAATGAATCATTAATACGTTTATATATTAATCTTAGCTATTTGAGAGAGAAAGGGAGAGAGTGAGAAAGAGAGAGAGAGAAAGAAATTAGTTTCATTTTAGATTTAACTTTATAGAAATTTATATGATTAATTCGAATATATTACAATATGTGTGGAGAAAACTTTGTATATCCTAATAAACTAAAAATTTTTTGTGATAGCTTTTATAATTTTTTAACTTATCTGAAATAATACTTAAATCGATTGTACACATAATATAGAATCGGGCCATTATTAAGCATGCAATACTCTCTTAAATTCTACGCGATGATGAGCTTTATTTGGATATTTTAATTTAGCTTGGCAAAATCTGGCATTACATACGAATAAGTCCAGATTTGCGAAAATGAACAGAAAAATGCCATGAACATATAATTATATAATGTCATCTTATTATAAGGAATTAGAGAAATAAAGAGATATTATCACATTTAGATAGGGTTTTGTGCTTACACTCTATATATTCACAATATTTTGCAAAAGAATATGATATTTTAGTATATAAAACTTATTTCCTATGCATGTTTTTAATCATTTGAGAGAAGTATTATCTTGTATATATAAAAAAATCTTACATATGTTTTATTAGTTTATCATTTGGTACTTGTATTTACGTTACGCGATAAAAAAAAATAGGTAATATGTAAAATAAATAAAAAATAAAACTTCATCAGCATATCTCTGAGTTATATGTACAAATAAATATTTTAGAATAATATGTATATAAAAATATATTTTTTTTGTTTCTTATAAAATATACAGTTTTGCCGGTAAAGATAACAACGTATACATATTAAAGTAATAATTTACCCAATTTTATTCCTTTAATATTAGAGCAAGGATTTGTTATGCATTTAAATATTTTTTTTTTTGCGAAACATTTGTTATGTTTCATGTTATACGTTAAGATACTTAGAATATTTGTATTGGATTGAGTGGAAAATCCATTTTTGCTAAGAGATGACATTAGTATAAATACAAAAAAATGGAATGAACTTACCGTTCACCCAATATTTATATGATTTACAGTTTATCTTTTCCATTTCGTAATAAATTAGACATCTTTATGGATATAATATGCAATTTCAATATATCGTAATGGTTTTTAATCTAATCTAAAACGTAACGTGAATATATACATAATTAATTACAGTTTCATTCCAGTGTCTAAACCGAGTGTCTGCTTCATCATTTCGTACGTTGCAAAAGCAACTGCCTGCAAAGGAACTGCTCGTAAGAAATTGATACTCATCCCACGATATAAACCTTTTACAATGCCATTCTCGGTGTATATCAGCCTAAGAGTAGACAACATTCCCGACCTGAGAAAATAATAATTTTACAAATTGCTACAATATTTCGATAAATCAAATTAGGTTTATTTATTTAAAATTGATAATTAATAATCTTTTAATTTATAGAGTAAGTAAAAGAGATACAGTGACAATCAATTGTAAAAAAATATTGCAAGACATTAACATTTTTTTTTATATTATTATACCGTACTTACGCGTATTTATGTGTAGCTGGATTCATCATAGCCAATTGCATACGTCTCTTCGTAACATCTAATGGATAAGAGAAGGTATTCGCTACAGCACCGGCAGCGCCTCCACATAAAAGCTTTCCCGGTATATTCAATATAAGACCATCTGTATAATAAGGGGATACATTTAACTATTACACTATTTATTATTTATTCTTCTTGTTGAAGCTTGCCTCTTACTTACTCGTTTTATGCTCAGAACAAAAATAATGTGGCGCGTATTTCATGTTTAGATATTTCACCTTCTCGAACGTATAGAAGGAAAATCCGGCGTATGGTATCATGCCTAACATATTTGACCAAAAACCTCTGTACAACGCTCGAAGGCCGCCCTCCTGAAATATTTAGTAATTATTACTTTTATTTTAATGTAACAGAACACATCCAAATTGGAAATTAATAAAATTTTTAATGCAGTTTCAAGCGTATAACATGAATTGTTTGAATCAATATATACAATTTATTCATGCTATTTTCAATTCAAAAACTGATCTTTTATTTATTCTTACTTATTATACAAAAACTGATCTCATCGTCTCATTCAAAATTATTCATATTTATTTCTTCATATTTATTTTAATCAACAAGATAAAATAATCGAGATAAAATAATCGAGATAAAATAATCTGTTAGTAATTTATAGACGCAATTGACGTAAATATCATTTTTAGATTTAAATGCGTCTCTCGATAATAGGTGGACTCCAAGAGTGTATCAATTTACCTCTTTCAGCATTCTCACAACGGCGTGTTTGATTCCAGAATAAAGTGTATTGCTATTGGTAACTTGAAAGGCTAGTCTTGCTCGGATAGTGTCGAGCGGATATGTAATCGCAGCCGCTGTGATACCCGCGGCAGCTCCGGCCAAGAATCCATTTATAAGCGAACTTTGCTCAAACGACACCTCTAAGTGCTGAACAGAAATTGCGCGGACATTAGTGTCAGTTTTAATAGTTACAGCCAATAAACAGAGATTGAACATGTATGTACAACACAGAACAGTTAAAAACTTTTTCAAGCATCATGCAGACAATCGACAAGTATTACAAATTCGAGATGCACTAATGCGCAAAGTGAGATATTTTAAATTATCTAACTGTTCGATGAAAGATTTTATCCGCTTACTTTGTGTTTCACACACATTCCGTCTCTGCTTGTCCCCCTGAGATTTCCTTTATTGACTGAAAATTGACAAATTTATTTGTCTTTATCTTAACGAAATATCATGTATTATAATTGATACATGAGGAATATTTGACCCGTAATTGGTTGAATCTATATCTCTTGCCAATTTTCTTATCAATTCAAGAGGAATCTGAGATAACTAGTCATAAGTAAAATAATTAAATTATTAATGTTAATTTGAAATAATAGGACGTTCGAAGAGAACAGGCTCGCGTTAAATCTAAACATTCTGGTAGTTTCGAATATCACCACAGAATTCGAGCAGGTCTTATATTTTTTCCGCACCTGTTTATACTGTTCATATGCTGTAAATTGTATCGCTCCGTACGGCATGATCCTCATTACTTGAACGAGATTACCTTTATACAAGGCAAGGAAATTTTCACGTTGAACAATTTCCCTGAATCCCGAGAAAGCACCTGCAAAATTCATAGGTATATTAATTTCATATACATACATCGCATTATTTGCTAGCAAAATAATTTACATCGTAATTACCTAAATGTTTGTAATGTTCGTGTTGTGCTTGCAATAAAATTTTAATCCTATCGAAAGGTGCCACGGCCGTTTTCGAGCACACGGCGGCAACTCCTGTGTATGATATATGTACATACATACAATTAATATTTATAATGTTATCATCATTCTTGGAATTTTTATAAATGTCAAGAATTGCGAAACAAGTAGAAATAAGTAGTGAGAACTGTTAAGCGAATCTCCGAAAATATTTTCGATTCAAAAGTTAACAAACATGTTATACGTCATGGTATTGAGAAATTTTTTTTTTTGGACACAGAAAACATTTAAAATTAATCAATCAAATTCACGGAAAACTTGCCCGTGCATCTGAAGTTAAACATATATGCGTCATCATACATGACGTATCATTTTTTACCTTTATCGTTAATCAGACACGAAACAAGGACAAAATAATTGCAATAGCGCGTTGATAGCGCGCTTCCCGAACGCAGCCTAAATTGATCGCGTGCAGTGTAACGATATACTTTGTGCGAAAAATTAAATATATTTAGACGATAAATAGAATAAGTAAAATGTACCGTTTTCGAGCACACGGCGACAATTTATGTTATCATAATTCTTGGTATTTTTATAAATGCTATGACTGCCACGAGTCGCGACATAAGAATGATTAATATAAAAGAAAATCGATACCTAAAGGCAACTATCGTGCGACGTTATTGCGCGTGCAAATATTGAACAATCTAATTAGTTAAAGCTACAAATATTTAAATGTTATTATAACTATAATATACTTTGTCATTAAAATTTTTATTTATAGAATATTTGCAGATTTATAGAATATTTTATTTACATATTTGCAGAATATTTGCCATTCATCATAGATATCAGACTCAAAATAGAGCAATTAATCGTTTTTAAACCATGCAAAATAGCTATCATTGAATAATAGAATGTATATATTATTTTTCGACATCAATTCGACATCGAATTGAAAACCATTTCTCGCTGGGTATTAACATAGAATTATTAATTTTTACTTATCGATCTTATGTAAAAAGAATTAGATTAGCAATAATGAATTATATAGTCATAGACATTGGGCTTTAAACGATTCTGTGAATTGAATTAATTGTTGATCAAGCTAATCGGAGTTTATAGTCAAAGTTATTCTATAGCATTCAATTGAAAAACTTGCTTTAAAGAATAAACTTGGATCTAGGAATGAAAATCTGTTAAATCAGCGATCACAAAATCCCTATTAAAATCCCAAGCATCCTGAAACTTCTCACGTCACTTGAGAAAATTAACGCTGCAGCAAGAGAAAAAAGAGAATTAAGATATCCGAAGGAGTCCAACGGCAACTTACCACCAGCTGTGAGAGTTTTCATGATGACCTCGTAATTCTCGATTTTCTTTTCGGGTCGGGTCATGGTAGTCGCTGAATAACGTCGAGATAGATGCAAATCGTGGATACCGAATTATAGAAAAACGCGTGCAAGACTGCTCGCGGCAACGAGCGTCCCGCTTACTCCATGTGATTTCAGTCGACGGGGTGGGGAGTGAGGAGCACTGACCTTGACTGATCCATTTTCATGTAAAGAGCGTGGTATTCGCATTGTGTCGTCCGATAAAGCCGGGGTGCTGTACGTGTGTGTGTGCCTCACGCTGTCACGCTACTTTAAAATCTGTTCTCTCTTAATTTAATTGCAGGTGGTTAGTCGCAAACGAAAAAATAATAATTGATAAATACAATAAGTTAATAATAATTCATTAACTTAAATACAATAATTTGTTAATATAAATGTGAATTTAAGTTATAGAAACAAGTAAGTTGATTTATAATAACTATAATCTTATTTTAATTCCCTTAAATTATATATTTTGTATTTATTTATTTAATATTACGTGTTCAACATAAATTTTTAGAGTTTATTATATATATATTTTGTAAAACAGATCAATTTGTATTTTAGGAGAATGTTAGAGATTAAAAATTGTTTAAAATCTTTGTTGGTATAGATATTTAAACATTGCTAAGCTGAGAGATAAATATGTATATCTATAATATAACAAGAAAGATATTTATTACAACGAATTTTCAGCACCTGATGGCAGCTGTTACTGTTATTCGATAAGATCTTTTGTATTTTTCTTTTTTGGACATTCGAAAAGGAAACAAAACGGCCGATATATTTATTTGTATTTGTATATAATACAAATAAATAAATAAATTTAGCATTTTTGATTATCGAATGGCATCTTATACGTCTTTTTTTGGGGAAATTTATTTCTATCCTATGTCCAGTACACGATTTGCTATTCTATAGGTGAATACCTCTAGGGACCCTAGGTAAAAAAAACATTTTTATTCCTATAAAACACACTTTCCTATTGGATACCGGCGATGTAAACTCCTTCTTATTTTTGTATATAGCACGTGTATGCGGAAATCCCCCATCCAAGTGATTCAGGATTAAAATTATTAAAAAACGTTCGATAAACTTGCAAGTCGCAGCTCAATTTTATAAATTTATACTGGAAACTGTCTTTACATCAATATCAAGCAACAATGTTCGCATTCCTCAGGCAAATAATAGAAGAGAGACGCAAGTACATTCAACTTGGTAATGCATAAAATATTAACATTTTATTTAGAACAGATCGTAAAACGTGCATGTGATTCTTTTATTGTTGTTTTATTATTACAGAAGCGAAACCGATAGAAACCGCTAAAAATATGAGTATTAGTAAGAAATTTATGGAAGTTCTGCAATTGTCGTTTGAAGCTAAATACCTAGGAGAAGACATAAAACTTTCTAAAAAGAAAAACAAAATCAAAGCAGTGGAGGACAGAATGAATTCGTTATATAATTATGTGATCGATGTTTCAACGGATCCAAAATTCGATGACATTGTAGCTTTGGCAGCAGCTCATTATAATATAGGCAAAATCTATGCTAGTTCTTCGGATATTAATGACATAAATACCGCTATAATAACTTTCTCAAGATGTCTGGAACTGTTAAAAGGGAAACAACTGGATCCTAAAGCTATACTGACGTGTTTAGGCGCTCTTAACGAATTAAATTTAGTTTGTGATAAAATGCAGAACAAGAAGTATACTTTTAAATTCTTGAATACGGCAATGGAATTATATTTAAAATACACAATGGACGAGGACTTTCCAGATCCTGTTCATATAGCAACAATTGCTAACATCAAGGAAGAAGAGTCAAATCCCAGAATGCTCTTGGACAATTTTCACTACACAACTTTACAGGACTTAGGGATTCAGTATTTTGCAGAGCCGAGAGACAAGCACGGATTTGTGATGTATATACATAAAATATTAAACATTCGACTGTCGGAAATGTTACTTGGAGGAATACAATTTCACGAGAGGTGTCTTGACTGGGCTCTGACTTTATTCGATCTATCTAAATATTTTCTAGCAAACAATCGTTTCGTTGAAGCTAGAAATCACATTGCCACTGCAGATTATGTGATACACAGATTTTACGAGGACAGACTGAAACCGATAGACGAAGAAAGTAATTCCGAGCTTTTTGTATGACAGTTACGAATTTGTTTGTAGCGTTAGTGCTAGAACTTGGGGTATCTACGGAGTTTTACTTTTACGTTTCTGGTTGGAAAAATTTTCGCTGCATAAAGGAGAAACGGACCCTTGCGAGTTGGATATTTCAAACTTAAAAATAACGTCTGAGGACGAGTCGAAAATGATAATATTTTTTGACTTAGAAAAAGAATTAGAAAGCATGACTAATCAGATCATGCATACACGTATATTGAATCTCACCGAAGCCAAATCGCTCTTTGTACAAACTTTGAGGCATCTTGATACAGCGAAGGAATATTATTCTGCCGATACCGATATCGAATCTTATGCAAAGATAATACTTGACATTTCTGACACATATAAATATTTAGCCGGTTTTGAGCAGCAAAGGGATAAACAGATAAAATTACATAAACGACGAGTGGAATGTTTAGAGAATGTATGTAACAAATTTTCTACAACGATAGACGTAGATTCTGAATTGCAAATATATAAACGGGTTTGTTATGAAATGGTGACTTCCTGTTCCACGGTTATGGATTTAATGATCGAGGAAGCGTTTAACAACAACTCATTTCACGAAACGACAACGGAGGCTCACCGATATGCAAAACTGATCTCAAAAAATATCAATTTATATTTAGATGCTTAGATCTTTAAAGAAGTATTCAATTTTTTCTAGGATTTACACCGTTTTTTTTTTATTTCTGACATATCGAAAGATGTTATTTTAATGCGTTTCTTTAGCATATAAAAATTATCTGACAAATTATCAGCAATTAATGTCTCACAGACATAATTCACAATTAAAAAATTGTCTTTCTGTTAGCGTATAAAATTTGTCTGATAATAGATAACTTGAATAAGTCATGTGCTTTGTCATTTCCATCTAACAGAAATTCGTACAGAAATATTACATTTATTATGATACTTTATGTAATTTTATAATCAACAATGACTTGCATAATATACAATTATATAAAATTATATACATTTGTGTATAATATTATATAAAAGTAAATCTAATTTTTATATATATATATATGATTTATATGTACAGAATTTTATATAGTTGTATATCATATAAAATTACAATTATATATATATGTATGTAGACAACGTATGTGTACATGGACAAATTGTAAGAATTAGCAATGCTCTCAGAACTGTATGTGAAAACAATATTAGGCAGAATATTAGAGCTTTTAAATAATTTACTGTATATTTGTGTATCAATTTAAAGACAAATATATTTTTATAAGAAATTTAAATGCGTTGACAATGGACTCCAAGACCATATTATAATTTATCTCTTTTAGCATTCTCACAGCGACGTGTTTGAATTCAGAGTGTATTAATTGCTGAAATACTTGGAAGATTAGAGTCTTGCTCGAATAATATCAGGCGGATTATACGTGATTGCAGTCACTGTGAAAGCAGCTACGCAGCAGCTCCAGCCAAGGAACTATTTACTCAAAAGACTTCTAAGTGTTAACAAAAATTGCGCGGATTTCAGTATCAGTTTGAAGATGAGTTACAACCAGGAAATAGAGATTGAACGTGTATAACACAGAATAAATAGTGAAAAATTTTTTCAAACATTATACAACTGGTCAAATATTGTAGATTTGAGATATTAACTAACGATATTTTAAATTATTTAACTATTCGACAATATATTTGCTTACTATTTTACACACATTTCGTCTCTGCTTATTTTCCTGAGGTTTTCTTTCTTGATTGAAAATTTATAATCATTTTAATAAAATATCAAGTATTCGTGCAAAATAAAAATTTGATCCCTATATAATTAAACCGATATCTTGCAATTTAAACCACGTATTTTTCTTATCGATAATGCAAGAAGAATTTTAAAAGATAATTATATAGTTACAAATAAAACAATAAAATTATTGATATCAATTTAAAATGATGTGATGGAACGTATCTATATTTATAAGAAAGCAGAATTTCAATACGTTTTTATATTGTTCGTATGTTGTAAATTATATCGCTGCGTGTGGTCTCTCTTTGTAATTTTAAGCGACGTTTAATCTCTTACAATTGACATTACTTTAATAACTCAATTTATGATTCCATTACAATAAGTAGAAAGCGTTTATTGTGTGTATAAGAATTTATATACATACATGTTCCTACTTCAGAATTAATCAATTTAATAATAACAAAAATTTGTTAGTATAAATATAATTATGAAATAATTTGTAATTTTTATCTTAATTTAATTTTCTCAAGTTATCTTCTTGCATTTGTAATACATATTAGTACATTCTAATGCAAATGTTTAGTGTTTAGACTATAGAATGAAATTAAAGAAAAATTTCAGAGATGTATAATTGTTGAAAATGAAAAAAATTTTTTGATGCTAGATATTCGTTGACTATTGCTAATCAATTGATGATCATACATGTATCCATAATGTAATAAGAAATATATTTATTACATATATACTAATAAACATTTCGACATTTGTGGACCAGTTTCTGATTGACCGTTATTGCATATTTGTGAATCTCTCTTGTAGCTTTTTTTGAGTGAAAGAATTTCCAAAAAATAAATAGCAATATATATATATGCATAACACAAATAACTAAATAAATTTGACATTTTTGGTCAAACGGGATCTTGTCCTTTTTGATTTTTTGGAAATTTTATTTGCAACATCCTGGACTGTTTCGATTTCCCATCGATGTATATTTTATCCTTGTTCACTGAATGTTAAACAAGAATAAAATGATACATGGGCGCACCCGCGTGATGAATCCGAACAGGCGTATACGTTAGAGATCCTAGGTAAAAATATTTTTTATCTCTATAATACAGCTCTTTCCATTGGAGATACCTCTCGTCCATTTGTATACACAGCACGTGTATCCGGTAATGGGTAATTCCCCCTCCCCATAAAGGTCATAGAACGCATGAGCAGGCTAGAGAACGCTCGACGACATTCGTTACACGTACAAGTTAGATCAGTCTTTACGAATTTGTACCAAAAATTGTCTTTGCATCAATATCAAGTGAAAATGCTCGCGTTTCTCAGAATGATGGAAAGAAGACGCATATCCTTCCAATCTGGTAAGTCATAAGAATAATTTGTTGAAAACAATTCGTGTAAATTTTTTTTTTTTAATGAGAACTTATATCATCTATACAGAAACGAAACGGATCGAACACGCCAACAGTTTGAATATTAGTGAAGAATATTTGGAAGTTGTACAATTGTCGTTTCAGGCAAAAGACGACCTAGGTGAAGACAACAAATCTTCCACAGAGAAGAACGAAATGATCAAGAGGATAAAGGACAAGATGAATACATTGTTTCAGAGTGCAACCGATGTTGAGACGAGCGTAAAATTTAATGACATAATAATTTTGGCGGTAGCTTATTATAACTTAGGTCTAGTATACGTTAATTCCAAGGACAAATACGAATTAACCACTGCTTTCATGTGTCTTAAAATGTGTCTGGAATTGTTAGAGGGAAGAGAACTGGATCAAAAAGCTATATTGACGTATATAGGCACTCTTAACGAAATAAACACAGTTTTTTATAAATTAAAGAAAGAGTATACTTATAATTCTTATAAATTCTTAAAATTAGCAATGGAAGCATACGTGAAGTACACAAAGGAGGATAATTATTCTGATCCTGTTCATATAGCAAGGATTTTTGATAGCAAAGAAGAAAAAGAATCGAATCCTAGGATTATTTTAGAGACCTTACATTTTACAACTATACGCAATATAGCATCTCAATATTTTGTACAGCCAAAGGATAAGCATGAGTTTGTAATGTACATGCATGTCTTGTTAAAAACGCATTTGTCAGAAATGGTATCTAGTGGAATGAATTTTCGAGAAGACTGTCTTGATTGGGCTTTAACTTTATTTGATATGTCTAAATACTTTCTAGCAAACGATCGTTATGTAGAAGCCAGAAATTATCTTGTTACTGCAGATTATGTGACGTACAGATTTTCTGAAGACACATTGAAAGCACTGAAAGCAACGAAAACGATCGAGAATGGACAAAACTCGAGTGAAATATTAAAAGTGCGATTTCTCTATTTGTCCGATAGCTATGACTATGTCTGCGGCGTTAGCGCTAGATCTTGGGGTAATTACGGCGTTTTACTTCTACGTTTTTGGCAGGAAAGATTTTTAAAGAATCAGTGCGAAGAATGTAAGATAAATAATTTAGTATTAGCGATAAAGTCTGATAAGGAGCAGTCGAAAGACTTGCTAATATTTCGTGATCTAAGGAACGATGAGGTAGAAGGTACGGACGATCAGATCACGCATACGTGTATAATGAATTACGCCGATGCCAATTCCGTTTTTGTAAAAGTTTTAAAACATCTTCAAGTAGCGAAGGAATATTTTACTGCCGACACCGACACGGAAACTTATGCAAAGATAATACTTGAGATTTCCGCAGCGTACAAATATTTAGCGGGTTTTGAACACAAGAGAGACATTCAACTGGAGCTGCACAAACAGCGAGTAAAATATTTAGAGGATACTTGTAACAAATTTCACGAGATAATTGATACAGATACAGAATTTCGAATTTACAAACGCGTTTGGTATGAAATAGTGACATCATGTTCCACAATTATGGATTTAATGCTCGAGGAATCGTATTGTAAAAATTTTGACGAATTTAGAAGTATGTCGAAGGAAGTTGATCGATTTGCGAAATTAATCTTAGGAAATATTAACTTATATTTACACGTATGACTTAGGGCTTTAGAAAAATATTTAGTTTTTTTTTTGGAACTGGCGTATTTCTTGTGACGTTATCGTAAAATACAGTGAAAGTCATATGAGAAGCATAATTATAGATAAACAAGGAAAATTTCCATTAATTAGCTGCATTAAATTTGAGAACACATACAGCTTTTAACCGAGTCATATTCCTTATCGTTCTCATATGACAGAAATACGTGTGGAAGTATCAAACATTATTATATTAATTTTATAATAGTGGTAAGCAGTATTATTAGTAGAATTAGTATAAAGTCTCACTACCACGATTAACGATTATATAATAATTCACACAATGTACAATTATATAAGATTATATATTTTCATATTTTTAAAATAACTTTTTATATATGAGATGCAAATGTGTATAACTTATACATGGACAAATTGTGAGATTATCAATGCTCGTACAAATTGAAATAATTTCAGGCAAAAAGTTGTAATTTTTATACAATTTTTACTCTGTATATACATCTAGTAAGCATAATAAGTTAAAACTTTTATGGCATTAATTATTTTACTTTTATATTTTTGCTCCTTTCATTTGACTATTAAATATAGATAAAAATTTTGTTATGATCACTTCATTATATAAAGCCAGTGCAATATAATTATAAAGATATTTGTTTTTTGTAGAAAAAAATTTACTTTAAGTATATTGATATTGAAAGAAAACACAAGGAAAAATATATATTACAATGAGAAATAAGATAGAATGATCTACGAGAATCTCGTTATCATCAGCTTTTTCAATTTGTTGCAAATTTAATTGTTCATACTATTTCCACTAGTGTATCCCTATAGACTGTCATAATAATTTATAAATAAAGAGAAAATAACCTAAGCACTTACCAATAAAATGAATATTTTGTCGAAATGTGATATATTTACATTACTAAATATTTTTGTAAAGGTAAAACGTGCTGGTAGGAAGAAAATCTTGAAGATCCTTTTGTTCTCTCTGCTTTTTCTTTCATTAAAGAGAGACAAGTACGATTCCCAGAATCTCTTTCTGTTTTGATGCATTGTGCTCGGACAACCGGAGTCTGCGTTCACGTTCGCAACTCGCTTCGTTTGTCATGTATACAACGTGTTCGATGGCACCACGTGAACTGATAAGTCACTAGAAGATCGATAGTTTTATTTTACTCTGTATTTTATTCTACTGATTTTGTCAACACTGCGTAAATCACGATGGCTCCGCGTGGTCCACAATTCTCATGGCGGTTTGTCTCGTATGCCGTTTTCAGACTCTGATGAAGTTTTAGCAGTACGACGCATTTGTAACTGAAACCAAAGTCTTTGGGACAGCAGCTGTAGTCTACGATTTATAACGAGTCTGTCAAATATGTTGATTGAGCCTAAATTGACGAACACGTCGCCGAATTTCGGCAAACCACCCGACAAACAGAATGAGGTTAATGTGTACAAAGTTGTGAAAATATAAAGAAAATATAAAATAACGTGATTAAAATTGTACTTTCGTAAATTTTTCAATATAAATAATTTTTTTAAGAAAATCAGAAAACTAAAAAGTTTAATAAAATTATTTTTAACAAATATAAATATTGTAATGTTTGATATTTTTATTATTTTTATGTAGATTGGTTTGACAGTTCTTATGCCAATATATTGGGAAATATATATAATAATCTATTTATGTTGCTAGAAAAGACGAATTTAAGAAAATGCCTCGATAAGGCTTAGACCAATCGATTCTGTTGTTTGTTTTAGCTATTGCAATCTCTAGGTGTACCTCATATCGAATCCTTCAATTATATGCTGGAAGATGGCCTTTTTCATGGTTTAAAGGACAGTACGCCAGTGTATTTAACTCTTCCTAATGATGACAAGGTAGTCCTCTGGCTGGACGATGTACATATCTATAAGCCCACAGTTCCTTCTAGCACAATTGGTGTGAAAACGTATAAAATATATCCAGCAGAATGTCGACAGAGAGGCAGCACTTACAAGGGCAAGATAATAGCGAGACTCGGGTGGTCTATCAACGGTAAAGAGCAGGAGGCTCTTGAGAAGGATTTGGGAGAAGTTCCAATTATGATCAAGGTAAAATTCAAATATGATTTTTGATTGTCGAGCCTTCTGCACTTCACGTGATTGCATTTTGAATACTTTTCACATTTCTTTTTTTTTTTTAACAAAAAATACATGATATTTTCTAGTCTAATCGATGTCACTTGAGCAGCATGAGTCCCGAGGAATTAGTCGCTCACGGTGAACACGAACAGGAATGGGGTGGATACTTCATAATCAGGGGCTTTGAGCGTCTTGTACGTATGTTAATTATGACGAGACGAAACTATCCTATTGCTGTGAAGAGACCAACTTGGAAAGGTCGTGGGGAACAATTCAGCGAATTGGGTATTCTCTTGAGGAGCGTTCGGGAGGACAACTCGTCCATTGTATGTACCTGAATAGAATCTTTTTGCATGTATTTTCTTGTCATCTTCCTACATGTCATACATTATCATAATTGTGTGTGTCTCTTTACAGAATAATACGCTGCACTATGTGATCGATGGCTCTGCAAAATTAGCATTTACGTACAAGAAAGCTACGTACTATGTGCCATTAATACTAATGTTAAAATGTTTGTTAGATGTGACCGATGTATATATTTACAAAGCACTAATCGCTGGATGCGAGGACGATCTTTATTACAATAACAGTATCATGAATATGTTGCGCGCGGTGCACGAGGAAGGTCTACACTGGCACGAGCAGTGTAAAGCGTACATAGGAAAGATGTTTAAAGTCAAATTCTCCGAACTGCCTGCAGACGCGACTGATATAGATGTTTGTGATTACATCATTAAGTGAGTTTGAATGTTATTAATATTCCTGATTTATGTCCCTGAAGTGTAATTTTCCTAAAGTGCTATATAATCTTTATTATCGTCTTGTAGGCATTGCGTCGCTATTCATCTTGACGAGCCTGCCGATAAGTTTCATTTATTTGTATTCATGACCAAAAAACTGTTCGCCTTCGCGAACAACAAATGCGCCATCGAGGGTGCGGATGCTGTGATGATGCAAGAGTGTTTACTAGGCGGACACTTGTATCTGCAGGTTCTCAAAGAGAAACTGTGTTTGTGGCTGGTGGGGCTCAAACATCATATTCTCAAACGTGCCAAGAGTGCCGGTAACAGGTACACCTTAAGCGTGCGTAAGTATTTTATTTGTAATGTCGATTTTGTGAAAAGAAATCAAGTCAAATTCATACAACTAATTTTTTTTTTTCAAATATGTTTAGAGGAAATGTTGAACGTTACTAAATTTCGGAGCAACATTGATGCGCAAATGGAGTACTTCTTATCGACTGGAAGCGTAAGGTCGGCTACTGGTTTGGGCCTAATGCAAACCACTGGTCTTACGATTGTTGTGGAAAATATCAATAGGATGCGTTATATGAGCCATTTTCGTGCGATACACAGAGGCGCTTTCTTCCAAGAGATGAGGACTACCGAAGCTAGACAACTGTTGCCTGATGCATGGGGTAATTAAAAGCCTTGCTGTAATTTCAACAATAATATAAGTATATTAAATAATTCAAATGAAGAAATAAATATATTACAAAGATCTTAGAAAATGGTTCGGCAAATCGTGGAAATTGATTATGAGTAATGAAAGCAATGATTTATAATCTCCTGTTGTGTATATTGCAAATTTATAAAGATGTTTATAATATATTAATCCTTAATTGTAGGATTTATCTGTCCGATTCATACACCGGACGGTGCTCCATGCGGATTGCTGAATCACTTGACATTGAATTGTGTCGTGACAAAACAACCAGATCCAAAATTGAAAGCCGCATTACCTGCAGTACTGGTAGACCTTGGAATGGTTCCGTTATCCATCGCGGATGATTGGAAAAATTCGTATAACGTAATGTTAGACGGGAAATTAATCGGACTGATCGAGGACAAAATTATCAATAAAGTAGTATACAAGCTGAGATTGCTTAAGATAAAGGGCCAAGAAGTGAGTTATGAACGCGATGCTTTCCGGTCTGACTTATAATCGACCTGTGTGCAGGTATCTTATCTATATATTTTTTCTTTAGGTACCGTCAACATTGGAGATTGCACTGGTGCCAAAGAAAAATGTTCCAGCCCAATATCCAGGATTGTTCTTATTCACTAACGCGGCTAGAATGATGAGACCGGTGATAAATTTAGCTACACAGAAGATTGAACTTATAGGAACGTTTGAGCAAATTTACATGGACATTTGCGTGAACCCTCAAGAAGCATATGAAGGAGTAAATATGTTTAATTTATTTGTGCGTGTGTAAATATTTTTTTAATCTTAATGTCATATGATAATTTTTATTTTTTCCTCGTTAGTTAACGACTCATCAAGAGGTAAGCCAGACAACAATCTTTAGCAATTTAGCTAATCTCATCCCGATGCCGGATTGTAATCAAAGTCCAAGAAATATGTATCAGTGTCAGGTATCTATATTGTGATAATTAATATGCTTATGTCCGTATTTGCGAATGTGAATGCCACTTGCATATTCTCAGGATATATATAAATAAATATATAATAATTCATGAATCCTGAAATTAAAACTGTCCCGACTCTTGCGCATGCATTAATAGCACGACGATTAAAATATATAAATTTTTTCAATAACCTCGCAGATGGGTAAGCAAACAATGGGTACACCGTGTCACAATTGGTATCAGCAGTCACAAACGAAAATGTACAGGCTGCAGACGCCCGCTGCGCCACTCTTTCGACCGGTACATTATGACAATATTAACATGGATGACTTCGCGATGGGTACCAATGCGATAATTGCTGTCATTTCATACACGGTAAGCACCTTTGCTATTTAATGTTTTATTTCTGATATCGACGATTCTATTTGTGATTCGTCTCACAAATTCTACATTGATAATCTGATTTTGCAGGGTTACGATATGGAAGACGCGATGGTCGTCAACAAGTCGTCGTACGAACGTGGCTTCGGACATGGGACGATTTACAAGTCCGAGTTTGTTGATTTGAACGACAAGAAGAGTTATTTCGTCCGCGAGCCAGAGAAACCCGACCTCGAGAGAACGCTAGATGCCGACGGTTTGCCTATGCCCAGAACTATTATTAAAGAGGGAGACGCGTACTATTCGTAAGTAGCTCTTTTTTTATACCTTCAATATCATGTTGCGTGATTTCTTTAAGTACTCTAAAATCTCATCGATGGTCCATTTAACAGCTATTATGATGCTGATAATGCCCAGTACGTCGTTGGAAGATACAAGGGTACGGAAACCGCTTATATCGACAACGTAAAGCTGTGCGGCACATTGAACAATCAAGATCTCCGAAGGGCGTGCATCACATTCCGTATTCCCGTTAGTACAGTTATAATATGTACATGTAGGCACATACACGCGCATGTGTATGTAACTGTAAAGTATATATAAACACAATTCATATTCTGTTTAAATGTACCAAATTTTTCAGAGGAACCCCACCGTTGGAGATAAATTCGCGTCACGAGCGGGACAAAAGGGAATCCTGTCGCGGCTGTATCCCATCGAGGATTTACCGTTCACGGAGACCGGGATGGTTCCCGATATTATATTCAATCCGCACGGTTTCCCGAGTCGTATGACAATCGGTAAGTCGGAGGATTTATTTTGTATAATATAATACGACGAACGATAAACTGGCGGCTTTTAATTATATTTTAGTATAAGTTTTCGGTTAAGTAATATTAAAAACTTGTTGACTCAAGAAATCACTAAGAAAATATAATTCATAGATATAATTTCAATGTTAATGGACATGTAATAAAGCAGTAATTGATTTTTATTTTCATAGCTATGATGATCGAAGTAATGGCCGGAAAATCGGCGGCGGTGCATGGACTGGTTCACGATGCCACGCCCTTTAGGTTTGACGAAGACAACACGGCCGTGGACTACTTTGGGAAATTATTAAAACTTGGTGGCTACAATTATTACGGAACTGAAAGAATGTATTCGGGCATTTATGGATGCGAGATGACCGCCAGCATCTTCTTTGGCATTGTGCATTATCAGAGATTGCGACACATGGTCTCTGATAAGTGGCAGGTAGCTAATTTACATCAGCATTTAATGAGAACATTCTTTACTCTCGTATTTCATTCTGTCGAGATACTTCTTCTCATGTACTATATTCGTTATTTGATTGAAATTCTCGTTTGGCGAGTTTTTATTTGTCTTGTCCGATTTTTTACGTATTTTAAAAGATATGTTTTATTATATTAAAAAAAATATAGTTTGATGATTGACAACTTTTCCTTTATTTATAACGGGAATAGGGAATAGGCTAATTATACCTCATTTCTAGGTGAGAAGTACCGGACCGATTGACATGCTAACAAGGCAACCCATTAAAGGACGTCGACGCGGTGGTGGTATTCGATTCGGAGAGATGGAACGAGACGCTCTGATTTCTCATGGCTGCTCGTACCTCCTTCAAGACCGTCTCTTTCATTGCTCCGATAAAATAACAGTAAGCGACAAGATATGATTTTTTTCTTAATATGCCGATATAGCCTGGCTAACAATTTTATCTATATACGTCATACGATTTTATTGTATATCTGATTAAAATGTTTATCTGCAGACTTTAGCATGTAAAAAGTGCGGATCACTACTTGGACCGGAATTAACAGTGACAAATAGGTGTGACGAGGACGATAGAAGATGTCGTCTATGCGGCGAAGAAGATACCGTAGACGAGGTTGAAATACCGTATATCTTTAAATTCCTTCTAATACAACTGGCGTCCTGCAATATAAACATCAAATTGAAATTTAAACGAGTTTAAACGACTGTGGGAATGTGCGTAATGTGCATGTATATATCGCGTGTACAGTTTTTTCTCAACAGAATAAAATTTTATTTTCCTTTTCTAACATTCCAGGGAACAAATTCTATTCATAAAGCTATTACACGATTGAAGTTCATTACACCGACAATTATATACTTATCTCATATTCACGATGTAAAACATCTGTATATATACATAATTCGATCAACAGTTTATGTTACAAAATTAACTTGCACAAAGGAAAGATAAATTCGGTCATATATCTTCTCTCTTTTTTTTTTACAATGATACAGAATGGAGAGGAATGTAAATATCTTGAGTTACTGTGTGCTTTGCAACAAGCGGACGATAGATTATATTCACGCGATACTATATAATACTCTCGAAACTTTTTCGAAACCAGAAAATTTGTACAAATTGCACGAATGTTCAAGCTTTCGCTGGCACTTGTGCTCCGGGCTTGTTGGTAGGTGCTCCAGTTGCACCCGTCTGTTCTTTCTCTAACTGCTTTCCAAGATACTCCCTAGAAAATAAACAACAAATTTGAGAAGTATTTACAAAATTATACATATAATTAAATAAAAAATATATATTAAAATATTTAAAATGTACTGACAACTTGTCAATTGTTTAACGTATACACATTAAATGATGAAAGATGAGGACAATTTTTTAAATTCTGTAACTTACCAGTTGTGTACCATAAGTTTTTGCACTGCAAGAAGAGCCTCGTATCTAACATTAGGATCCTCGTGTCCGAGAAGTTGCATTACGCGCTGCTTTCCACCAAGTTGTTCAATTATGCTAAAATACACGGAGCAATATTTTAACAAATTGCAGCGGTGAATAGAATTTAATATTTCCGTACGTATAAATTAACGTACTGCTTGCCACGTGGATAATGGCGCACGTATTCGCCGATGTCGAAACTAGCCACGCTGAGAACGAGCGGGTCTTTACTAGTCTCTAACAGATGGACCAGAATACGCAGAAGCTCGTAATTCTTTTCGTTAAGACGGCTGGCGTTCTCGCGCCAGAATTTGCCGGACTTGTGAACGGGAGACCATTCCAGACGGCCGGACTTCACTTCCGTTGAATATTCGTCGAATGAGCTTAGATCCTGCACGGATGCCTGCAGTTTGTCATTGAGGAACTCGATGTCGTCGGTGATGTCCTCGTCGTCGAACTTTCGTTGGCATAATATCGAGAGCTGCTTCAGCACCTTGCATTGCACCATAGCAATGCAATGTTCCTTGGCAACTTGTCCGTCCTCTACTTTCTCAATCAAATTCTGTTAACGTTCAAAAAAAAAAAAAAATACCAATCATGAAATAATCTAGATATGTAACTATTTTTTTTAATCCCTAACACATTCTGTCTCACCCTGAACACTGCAAGTATAATACGTGTTACTTTCTCCTTGACAGAATCGCTGAGTATGTCGGCAAGAATGGGTATGACGTTGAATCTACGATGTAACATGTAATTAGACAATATTGTAATATTTATTAGTAAATTATTTATTAATATTATTTATTAGTAAAACAAGAAATATGTTACTCACTTGTTCATCTTTTCTGCCAATAGAGGATTGAAAGTAAGTACCCACAGGCAGAAAATAAGCTGATATTGCACTTGGAAGTTTACTCTGCCAGACAGAACGCTGAGGAGAGTCGAAATTCCATCGACGGACACGAATGCAAAGCGATACTCGTCTATACGAAGCATCATTTGTAGACATCGTGCCACCGACTGAATGTACTCATTGTTCTAAATAAGAATAAAAATAATGTACATATTTGTATACTCTATACAGATTTTTCTTACAAAAATATAGATATAGGAGAAAAATATAAAGAAACAAAGAAAGTAAATTTTCCTATTTAAAGGATAAGCGTTTAATAATATGTTGCTACATGCAAAAGAACGATGGTAAAATAATTCGACATCTTAAAGAGAGAGAGAGAAAGATTTAATGAGATTTATCGAGAGAAAAAATGGATTTTACAAGTTTGCAAGTTGGCTTAAGGTTTTAAGGAATTCGCATTTGTAAACGTGACATCCACATAAAATAGTTGTAAAGCACAAATCATGCATATCTGTAATTAAAACTTTTAATTGTCCTAAATGTAAGAGACATGTCATGATACTTTTTTGTATGCCTATGTATCGTTAATTCGTTCCGACGAATTATTAGTGGCCCGCTTGTTGGCAGAATGCAACTCAAGAGAAAACCTACTTTGCAATTTGATTAGAGTAATAAGTAATACTACTTTGATTAGTGGTTACAAAACCAACCGGGTTGAGAAATTCGTGCAGTTCATTGGCCTCCTTGGCCTGCTCCACAGCAGTATCTTGTTCTAGTCCCGCATGCAAGTCTGTGTGGTCCTGAAGGGCATCGAACTAAAACCCCATCTCATTTCTTTTTATCCATTACAAATTCTACTGTAATTTAAAGTTCTCGTCTATTTGAAGCTTGAGCGCGGGAAGCAAAGTATCTAGTTGTCAGTATGCAGGACGATTTATCGTTACATTTGGTTAGTTATGCTTATATTTAATTTAGGGCTTTTATCAATCTTCCACACAGACTTTGGTTACGTAAATTCTATGATCGCCGAATTGCCACAATCCATCGGATTAGTGTGTTACAAGAATTATATAATTTTAAATTAATTTGATAAAGTAACAATATCCCAAATATCCCAAATAATTATTTATCAATTAAATTATATGAAGCATTCATATCAGTGTTAGTGTTATATAAAAAGCATTTTTAATAAGGATGCCATATTATTTTTATTAAATATAAATGTGAGATGCGTGAGTATTTTAGAAAAAACCGTGCCAACTATAAACTATTACAGCTTAACTACTATAGCTACTAAACACGCATTCCATGCAATTAAAGAAGTTTTCATATTATGCAAAAGACAGAACAACAGTAGACGAAGCAACTAACACTACATTAGCTCTTAAACATAGACTACTTGGCTGTAAGACAAGTATACACTTTTTCAATATACAACAAAAATTAAGTCATTCAACAAGATGTAGATAACGAAATTTATACATGCTTATAAAAAAAAATTCTGAAAATTAAGAAACTGAAAATTAGAAAAAGTCGGAAAGTAAAATCCGATTGATCTGTATTAGTATAATTTTAAATCATATTTATATTTAAGGATTATTAAATACAGAATGTATTTGATATAAATAATATAAATTTCAATTCTAAAACAAAAATAAAATAAGTGATCGAGCTTATTAAATCGATAGTTGCTCCAATTTTCTTGTTTAACATGGATGCAATAATCTGTCAAACTCACGCTAAGTTTCAGCTGATCCTTGAGCCATGTTAAGTAAAACTGAAGATCAGTTTTTTCCATGAGATCGTGACTCCAGCAAGCCAATTTGGCTATAATACGCGATGTCATATTCATTATAAAGCCGTCTTGTCTGTTCAATAGATTGAGGAACGGCCCCCAAATAGATTCTCGTTTCCGCGTCGAGTGCTCGCGAAAGATTTCCACACGACTGCGGTCCTCCTACAAATATTACGCCAATATCAATTTCTGTTCATAAATAAAATATCTGTTATTAAAAACAAAAACTGACAAAATAATATATTCAAAAAGAGCTTTATTTATCTGATAAGTGAAAGAAAAAATGTGTAGATGTACCTGTAGCATATCGTCAATCATTGTAAGAATATATTGAATCGTCTGATCCTTCGAAACGTGACCGAGCAAATTGAGGAACGTTTTAGCTGCCTGATGTGGATTCTCCTTCAGCTTATTCTCCCTTGTTTTAGTATCGCTCGAGTCAAAGGCCGCTATAAAATCATAGTCCTCTTTCGATATCATTTGTGATCTGTGAACATCAAATGCTTTCAATATCTGTTCAGACACTTCTTGAATGGGTAATTACGATCACAGAAATTTTCAGATCAGATTATCGATCGTGTAACTTTTTTCTTAGGGCGGAAACGTGAAAAGTCAAAATTTCTTCCCTAACTTGGTGAAAATTTTCACATTTCCACTGAAGGAAAAAAAGTTACGTAATCAGTTCCCAGGCTTCTCAAGGGCCACAATTTAACATTTATATACAATTACTTACTGGAAATACGACTGCCAATTAATTCGTTGATTCCTGATATCGGCAGCTTGCTGCTGGAGCACACTGGTAGCTGCCAGCATATCTGCAAAATCACGCAAGTCGATGCTTAAAGGGTTAAGCATAAAGTATGAGACAATAAAATAAACTCGACACGAGCCAGCGTGTGCAATTGGAATTGACACGATTGTTAAAATAGCAATAAAAACAGGCTGCATCGCTGGGAGGGGCCAGTTGTCAAACGGACGAATCTCCTTCACGCGGCGAGCATAATTACCGATTTTCTCGTCCGGCAATGCCGGTATCATCTGCTTGATGCTGTTCGCACGGTCCATGATTGCCGTCGAGGTTTCACGCCGATTTAAAAAGTAATCTCACTCGGAAGGTCCAGCACACGGTCCTCACCCTCGTCCTCCTTGGCTCGTTCAGCTGTTCGATCACAAGACCACGCGAATACCAACCTGACTTGACGTAACAGAAATTATCGATAACGCTAGACGTGCTGGGATTTTCGTGCGCGGCGCAGCGTGTGTTTGCGACACTGCGCAATCGTAAGCTAGAGAGAAACACGAACACGACTCACACCAACTCACACTGTCATGTCCTCCCTCGACTCTCAAGTTTTCAAGGTTTCTCTCTGATGATACTGGTCTTAAAGGTTATGTCGTTGTTTATATTGTAATAATGACTTTGTCGCTATAAATTCTGGTGTTATGTTATGAGCAAACGACGGCTGCTTCCGAGAATTTAAACGACTGCAAATATCGTACTATACAAATCGCGCCTACATAAATACGTTTGCAGTAAATATATTTTGAGAACACGAAATGGAAATGGAGCAAAATGTTGCACAAGCTCTACTGACGGAAGGCGCGACCCTGGTTTTGCTGGACGTACCGGTGGGCACTGACGTCGGCATCGATATAAAGTCCTGGAATGCAGGGCAGAATTTTAAGGGTATCAAGATGATTCCGCCTGGAATCCACTTTGTACATTACAGGTGAGTGCCGTAAATATGAGCACCCAGCAGTTTCCAATCTTACGCAAAAGATATCGAACTGCACTGATACCTTTTTGTACATTCAGATACAACTGTTGAAATTCGTTGAATAATCCAATGATTTTCTTTTATAGTGCGGTAAACAAATTCGGCGATTCCACGCCTAGAGTTGGTTTCTTCCATGACTTTCAGAAAAGCGAATTCTTAGTGAAAAGGTGGGACAAGGACAAGGAAGATATCAGCTCAGAAGGTGAGCAATCAGGATTGTTATTATTATATTATATATAGTGTGAGATTCCATATTCATGTACACGAGATCTTCAAACAGATGCACCTGAGGAGGTCGTTCAGAGGCTGAAGGACAATATAAAGGAGTTGGACAGGTACTTGGGACCGTATCCATACGAGATATTGAAACCGTGGACGAAATTGACGAACGGGATCACTGCATCTCTTGTGGCGAGGTGTTCGCCGTTGTGCGGGTAAGTGGAAGACACGAGTCTTGTCTTTTTGCGTAAGATTCGAAGTTGAATTGAAATATTGTACTTCAGTTACGTGCGATCCGCTTTGGAGCTGGAGCACTGCAGCGACGCTTCGAGACCACGTGGCGGCGAATCCGATAGCAAACGAAGGAGATCCGGTAGGCTCACGGTGGAGGACAGGGAGGAGCAATTGCTGCCAGATCTGAAACCGAGACCTGGCACGGAGCTCAGGCTTACGGAGATATCGGACAAGCGTTATCCCGACGACGCGACTCCGAGCGAGATAACGCGGCATTCTCTCGATTCCAGCTATGTTTTGGACACCACCCTGAAAAAGTTGCGAGAGTAAGTCTGAAACGTTGACGATCGAAATTTTAGATATTGAAGATTAAAAGAGAGAAGGATGTGGGGAAACGCGAGTTTCGTGTGTCTATGAATGTCACAAATTTGTAGGCCTATCGAAATCATCGGGGAGATGCAACTGACGTTCATCTGCTTCCTAGCTGGTCAGAGCTTGGACGCTTTCGAGCAATGGAAGAAACTGGTATCGTTGATTTGCGACGTGGATAACGCGATTCCGCAGTATCATTCCATCTACATGGAGTTTCTGCAAGCCCTGGAAGTAGAACTGTCGTACGTGCCGGAAGAAGTGCTCTGCGACATCGTAGCGAGCAACAATTTCGTGTATCGTAGTCTGTGCAATCTATTCGGTAACATTGAGTCGAATTTTGAGGTGGACGGTCGATTGAAATCGTACGCGAAACGTTTGCAAAGCAGATTGACTGCAAAGTTTCTGTGGGACTTTTCGAACTTGCTGGAAGAGATGGACGATGAAGCGCCTGTTGTTGTGACTCTGGCATGAACGTAAATAAATAAATTTTGAAACGTTGGCTTTACAGGTAAAGGTGTAAAGACACTGGCTTTAAATTTACAATAATATTGTAAATAATTGTAAATGTGTGAATTATACCTTCTAATATTTTAAGTATATCTCTGTCTACAGTTCTCACGTGTCAATTATATTTAATCTTCAAATTTTATTTAATTTTTTTTTCCAGACCAAAGCGTCCTTTTTCCTTTTTCATTTCATTAAATTTAATTATTTCTTCAATTTTAATTAATAGCTATTTCAAAATACAAATATCATTACACAGTACAGTTAAAAATATTAGTTAAAAGTTACATTTTGACTAATACCTAATTTTTGTATAATAATTTCGTTGATTGTATTATTAGTAATTACACTTATTACATTAACAGATGACAAAAAACGATTTCAAAGGATAAAAAAAGATGTTTCCGCCCGGGATCGAACCGGGGACCTTCCGCGTGTTAGGCGGATGTGATAACCACTACACCACGGAAACACACGGGAGGTACATTCTTGCTCTCTAGTTATCACGTAAAATAATAAATCGAACATATATGAATTTATTTTATTTTGAGATTTGTTTCAACACTTGAAGGACGAAAAGTTTGTCACAAGTTTTTTTCAAAAATTGTTATTAATTATTTACTATATTTAACGTGCAAGTTATTAACAATTTACACATTATCAAGAATTATTAAAAAAAAAAACGGTTTAGTCAATTAATCCATGGATTAAACGGCCGCCATCGCACCCGAATAAAAATAAATTTAATCAATCATTGTTTTATGAAAAGAAATAAATAAATAACTGCAGTTTATTTTTTAGTTTATTTTAATTAAGTTTTCATATTTTTCTGACTGAAGTACAATGCATACTCTCTCAATTTGTAAATGAAAATTTATTTCTGAGAAACTGCTACGATTATCACGATTACTACGATTACGACCGACTGACGCTTTCGTCTTCTGAATGATCTCTTCACTGCTCCTCAGCATAACGACTACTTAATTTGTATCTAAAAAAGGAAAGCAAATTCATATATGAAATGTAAAACTGTATTTCTTTTTTTTTTTAATTATTTTATTATTTAATCTAATAGAAGATTATAGAAGTAATAGAGGTATATAATAATTACATAGAAATGCAATACAAAACTGTATTTCTTATTTTTTTTATTTTTGTAATAATCTAATAGAAGGTTATAGAAATAATAGAAGTATATAATAATTACATAGAAATATAAGTAAGCGAAATTCAATTCGCTTATTAATTCGACGATATTTAATTATTAACATTGAATAGAGTTTTATATCTTATCGTCTATGGATTACATTCTAAATGAATATTGAACATTTCTAATATAATTACACAAAGCGCAGACTGTTTAAATCTTATACATGTATAAGATTTTCTGATTTCACTAGAAATATTAAAAATACTGGAAATAGTTATTTTATAGTCAATTTTATATTCGTAGTCTTCGGCTGAATGTGTAAGTAAACCAAGTATTTTGACACTTTACCGCGAAATAAAAATCACTATGTGCAATTATTGTTTTATGAATTATCAAAAAATTAAATATGCTAATGGCTTATTGTCTCATTGACACATGACATGAATAAGAAAATAATTAAGAAGTCCATACATGTCTTAAAACTCACCAGTAAGAAATCAATACGAGTTCGAGTATCATTTATTGAGTTTCTCGATGATATATTTTGTTTATTTATTTCGTCAGTCGATGTAATTTTTAGTGGTATAACTTTATATTCAATTTTGTCAGTTTCCACTGCTTCTTTTACTTCTTGCCATTTATTCATCGGTATTGTACAGTTATTATTCTATAAAAAAAATATACATAAAGTTTAATCTAATTTATTTAGAATTTTTATGTATAAAAGAGTTTGGGAACATCGAATAATATGTTGTTTAAATCGAGATTAAAATTCAATCAAGTTATACAACTTTTTTATATACGTTCCGCCGTATCTACGATTCGAAAATTTGATTGATCTATTGTTAATTAAATATAAATAAAAAATACTTAAATTGTTAAAAATACATCCTGAAAACCATTGGAAAACAGATATTTCCTGCTTATAGTATGAATGTCTCCCACATATACATTTCATTACGTTAAAAAAAAATACATAACTTTTTTAAATTTAAATATTTAATTATTTTTTAAACTCAGGTTTGAAATATTTATACTTATTTATCTCAATATTACAGTAATATTAATTTTTCAATAGTTTGGGAATTAATTTATGTGTATTGACTGACCTTTTGTGTCGTATGATCATATCCAAACCATACCCATGGTTTTGAGGATACTACTACAACGCAAAACACAAGTAAATATACTGTCAACATCTTCATCTCTCTTTCTGTTTCTGCAAAATCGTATCGTATATGTATAAAAAGTAATATTTTTATGGTCGCACATGAAACTAAAAACATGCCATTAAATATAATTACAAATAATTCTTCCACAAGATAAAAATATATTAGGTAATATAACAAAAATGAGGATGATTCCGATGCAAATGTTTTATGTGAATTTTTAAAAAATTATTTTTTTCTTCTTGAACAATAACATATTGTAAAAAAAAGTTTGTAATTTTATAAAGTAAATTATAATTAATTTACCTTTTCTGTTCCAGTGATGATGCCTTCTTATGTCGCGACTTCACCCGTCGATGATCACTTTAGACACCAAATACGAGAGGTAAGCGCTTCGAACTGCCTTTTATAATGTCAGCGATAATATTTTTCTCAGGAATCGAGCGCCATTTAATACAACTTTTGTTGCCAAATAATTTCTCCGAATCATCCATATCTGCGTAGTGCCTACCCTTTTGATTTGACAGTAACGCAGAACGTATATGACAATTAAAATAACGATGATAATTGCAGTTATTTATTTATTTATTTAAGAATATGAATCAAACGATCTAAGTAGACAGAATGGATGAATCGAATCCTGTTTTTCGCTCAGTTTTATTTATGCTTTTCATTTCGATCATATTCTTCTCACAGAGGTGTTAATCTAAGACTGGAAATGCAGTATATCGTGCACGAAAATTAGAAAGTTGCGACTGTAGTAACTTGGCTTTGAAAAATAATATAAGAATTAATTTTTTGAAATTAATTTCTATTCTAATTTTTTGACTGTTTAGACGGCAATTGTAGATATTTTAGTCGCGTTTGTATGCAATTTACTTTCTCTGTGTATAATGTAACATTTCCAGTATCATGCATCTATCACGCCAGAATGTAAGCTTAGCATTTCTTGGAGTGGTTCTTGGAATATATACTGATGAAACTTGACTATGATTACATTGTTGGAAGAAACCCATACCCACACATACGACGACAAAGAAAACGTTTTTAATGCACATTAGATTGACAGATAAAAAAGAATTTATGTTTCAAATATGTCTATTAATGATGTTGAGGACATGCGAAAGTATTTTCATTTGGGTGCAGAGGCGGCCGTTTCGAGGGCTTCCTTCTCCTTCGACAACAGAGTGATCTTTTCGCCGTATTTCTCACGAAGACTTTGAAACAGAGATAACTGGGTTTCATATTCCTTCTTGAGATCGGCATTGAGTCTCATCGCCGCGTCCATCTTGCTAATCATCGCGTTATGCCGATCGCGTTCCTCGGAAATCTTCTTCTCCATATTATCGACTTCAGCCTGCAAATATCATATGTAAAAAAAAATTTAGAGATACGTACAATTTTAAAATTAATGATATACATCGTCTCAATTAATGATTTAACGTTAGTAAAAAGTACTTTGGAATTTCTGAAGAGAACAGGTGAACTGAAAGAAATCAATTCAGAATTCAATCTATATAAATGCAAAGTTTAATTTTTGGAATTAAAGTTTAAGCCCGTGATTTCGCAAAATCTGTTTTATTTTTAAAAAACATAAAAAAACTTGAGGAATAAAATGAATGGAATGAATGAAGAAATTATGAACGTGAATTAAATCTCTTTTTCGAGCAAAAGTTTGTTAAGGACATCTTCATATTACATTAACTCGCATGTGCGGAGAGAGAATAAGACTCACTTGCAGCTGTTTCACCTCCATGTTACGGATCTGCAATAGATCCCGGGTGATCGATATCACTTCCTTCAACGAGGTCACTTGATTGTTCAGAGCATTGATCTGGTTCTCCTGATTAGCAACCACGCGATTACGTTCCTCGTACATCAATGCCGTCTGTACCAGTTGTCCGCGCAACTGCTCCACCGATTGTTGCAGGGTATCCTCGTCACCGCCGTGACTTATTATCGCGTCGTAGGATGTTTGCAAGGCGGCCAGCTTCGTCTCCGCATCTTCCAACTTCTTCTGATAACTGTCGCGCTCCTTTGTTCTTTTCTGTCGGTCATAAAAATCTTAGATTCTGTATCAATGTTAATATAAGTTATACGAGGGATGGCAATATAATCATTTGACTCGCGTAAAATCAACTTTTAATTATAGAAAGTTTTATAAGATTTTTTAAAACCCATAACACATTTTAAGTATATATAGTATATATATAAAATTAAAAATAGATGTTTTATCATTGTGCGTATATATATTTTAGCACTAATTCTGTGGAAAGAAGTATAGGTCAAAGGTGCAAAAACGATCTATAAGAAGAACTGATTTTTTACTGAAAATGTGGAGATTTAACTTCGTTATCGAGCTGAGGTGATTCGATTCTTTCAGGACAGGGTTCCGTGCTCTCGGAAGATTTTCTCACCCGCACTTCCGCCTCCAATCTGGATATATACGCCGCGTTGTTACTTCTTGCATCCTGCTTTGACGTATCAGCCTACACACAATACAGAGATCGATTGATAAATAATAATTGTAAGTAGCAAGATCTGTCGATTATTTATTGCTTTTGCTTTCACCTTTTCTTCAGATTTCGACTGTGGCGTTTCTTCGCTTCGAAGAGCGATCACAGAATTATTAGCGGACCCTTGCGCTTCGGTTCGTACCGGGTTCACGTCCTCCTTAGCTGCATGAGCAATCTCTGTGATTATGTTAGTAATCTCTTCAATATGTGCATCTGGATTGGCGACTTCTACTCCGCTAGGTACATTTGTGTCAATTGTCGCTTCTATCGAACGCTCGGCCTGCGCGATTAATACCTCTTTTGCAATTTCTTCCGTGGATGCAGCTTCCGGTATTACATCAGTTCCTTTTACTGCGTGTGCGATTGTACTGTCAGCGCAATCGGTCTTTATCGCTTCAACAGGAGGTGCATCTCCTCCAGCTGTGAGATCTGTATTTTCTATTTTAGACATCCCCCTTTCTTTTTTTCTCTACAATGATGATGAATATTATAATTTTAATCGCGATAATCAATTCAATGCGGTACCATCGAATTATAAAGAGAATGGAAGAATGCAGAAGAAAATGCAAAAGACTGTTAACCTTTTGAAAAAAAAAAACAGATGACTGATACTTTTCTTTTGTTCATATTACTCTATTCAATCAAATAGAGTGTCTCTCACACACATATTAGATTAATTCTAATTTTAATAATATTATTGCATAATAACATTTATATATATATATATATTTATTTATAAATTATTAGAGCTAGAGAAAATGAATTAACAATTCGATGTGTGTTTCTATGTTTTTAATATTAATAATTACTTCCACAATTTTTAAATGAAATTTTGCAATTTTTGCTGATCACGAACAATTTTACGATATGTCAAGGATAATTTACCAGAAAGAATAATGCACGTGCATATATCAAATATTTTTCAACTGAAATAAAACACTTTCACCGAAAACTGCTGTTAACCGGAATGACTGAACATCGACGACTAAGCAGAAGCGTAAAGTATTTTTGGCTGCTTGCCGTTCGTTCTATTTCGAGCAGCGTCTCAGTTACACTTTAATAACATTCGTGTGAACATTCATGAAATTACGTGACATACAGAGTTTATTTACAGAAACTGAATTTTTATATACATATATATATATTCCTCTCATTAAACATATTTTCTTATTAAAATTATATAATATTTGATTTTACAAAATAAGATTCAACATTATAAAATGATACATTTATTTTAAACTAAAAATTTATAGTGATTTTAAGAAATATTGTTCTTTTTATAAATATATAAACTAAATATTAAAATTAATTGAAAACAATTACGTTCTTTTTTCGAAAATTTAATATTACCAATCAATTGGTCAGACAATTTTACATTGAGAAACACATTTTGCTTTAATTTTGCTTCTTATTTTCAGAAGATATAAAACTTTAAAAAAAATCACTTGGTGCGAATTCGCACTCAGGTGTCCTTAACGGGTCAAGTTAAAATAATTTTGCATAACAATATACAAAGGAAGGAAATAATAAAGAAAATGACGATTTTTTCGTTACTGTAATATAGCTGTATTATATAATATATATTCCTTATTTTTTATTTTAAACATGAAGTTACTATATTATAAAATATTAAAAACACCTGTGAATTCGCACCCAGGGATTCTTTACAGTACTTTTCTGCTAAAAAGTAAGGTGTCCTACGGATTAATCATTTTCTCAGATGAATATAATATAATTCTATAATTCATGTGAAATTTATTATTCTCTTTTACTTTTTTATATTTATCACTGAAAAATATTACATATTCTGTATTTTGATCTTACTTTATCACTGCTCACTTTGTAGATGTCATCCTAAGAAATTTTCTTCAAAATATTCAATAATTTTTAATGTATTATAATTCACACACGTAACATATACATATAATGCATTGTTTCATGATCATGATTTTTCCTCATTTGTTTAAGTATACACAAGTATTATCGTTTATTTGCAGCAAAACATTAGATAGATGTTTTCAAAAAGATCATACAAATATGTGATAAAAGTTTAATTTAAAAATACATATAATTGTCTTTAAATGTTTTTCAAATTACACTTAATTCACAATCCTTTTTTCTGTTTTTCAAATGTGCTTCAAGTATTTTCAACAGCTGTGGCCTTTTTAAATGAGTGTAAGCAATAGATAACATTTGCAGAGCTCTAGTTTGTACGTGAATGCCGCCGTTCGTGAAGAGGTCGTGTCCCAGTTCTAAGCAGGTACCGAAGTCGCACTCGTCCGCGGCTATCGTCGCCAACCTTACGATCTCGTCGAGCTTCGCGATCGGCACTTTTCTCTCTTCCGGACTACCAGCCTCCTCTATCTGCTTCAGTATCTTTTGCAAGTCATCTATGGTAAAAATATTTATTTATTATGTGTCTATATAACTGCACGAAATATAATAAGTCTTCAATTATTTAAAATTAGAATTAAATAAATTAGTAAACAATGATTTAAATTGAATTTTCTGAAGTATAGTAGAATGAATTAATAATATCGTTACTACATTTGTAAGAGAGTTATTTCACACAACTTTATGACTTTTGCTTCTTATAAACATAAAGTAATATAATTTATTGTATAAATAAAAAATGAAATATTACAAAGAAATTAGAACATTGAATATGCATTAATGCAATACTTACTGTCTGTTGCTGCCAAATCTCTGTAGCCCAATTGAGTTTTCTTATCATAAGGAACTACAATGCCTGCTTTGTGAAAGGTTCGCGCCACAACCCGTCTCTCTCGCGCTCGCATGTCTGCGGTATTTTTCTCCAGCGTTATATCGTGCTGTTTGGCGAAGTTTTTCAATTGCGAATGCAAACGCATTATGCTGGTCTTCTCGAAAGGATTGGCCGATTTCGCTTTGTTTTGCAAATAAGCGCTGTAATTTAAATATAACAATATATATGAATAAGCCCACATAAATGCAGATCTACATTAAATTCCTAAAATTTTTTATTATTCCACTTACTCGACAGCACCGAATATATTTTCTGCGGCAGGTTCAAATACGCCATTCACATTTGCGCGATTTTTAGCTACAAATACTGGTTTTTCCACAGCATCATCTCGCCAGTAACCGAAATGTAATCCCTCCTTATCATCGCATTTCACAACAGTCTGTGGATATATAATTTTTGCGTTAAATCTGTATCTTTAGTGTTTAGAACTTATAAATGTGCAACGTCCGCATTTGCAGATATTGATCTATTATTCTATATACCTGAAATTCTGGAGGGTCATAATAATATCTCCAGTGTGTCAAATATTTCTCCTTATCGTCCTCACTTGAGGGAACTTTTATTTTACCGTCCAGCGCATCATAAGGACCCACAAGTTTCAAGCGAACAGCCTTGCAAGCCGAAAGAGGATTATCCTTTGATATGCTTTTGCAAAACTGGTAGAATTGAAAAAAATCTTTCGGCATCTCGACCAGAAACAGATCCACAATAATTCTCTCGGCATCCGTAGACATCGATGTTTCCTCAGCCGCATTGTGCTTGTGCTCGGTCGAATTAAGTGAGTCACATCCATTCGATGATATTTGATATGATATTTCCTTACTCGACGTTTCTGGTTTCTCATTAAATTTTTCTTTATCATCCCCAGTATTATCTATAACGGCATCAGTTCTCTCCGGACTCGGGGAAAGATTATGTAAATTTCTTTCGGAAGACTCGCGTGTCTTCTGCAATTTTTTTTGTGGACTCTCCGATCGCGCTTTTCCGTCATCATTAACAGGATGTTTTCTCTTTTCTCCAATAATTAACTTCTCGGTTTTTTTCTCTACCTGCAGAAAGTTGTAAAGATAAGTAATAATAATCGTTGACTAGAACGATTAATTTAATCGATGATTGATTCAACAGAAGAATTGCAGACTTGTAGAAAATAAAAAATTTTTAATTATATATAATTCGTTGTCTTTAATCATTTCTGTTATAAATGACACGATAAAAATTAATAATTCTATCCAGATTAAGAAAAAAGTACAGGTATTATTTACTGTAAGTCAATCATCGAGAGCAAGTCCAGATGTTAATGTTAATTAATTATTTGCGTGTCACGCGCACAGTTGCCAATTTTTTTTCGTCAATTAAAGATCATACATTACCTTTTCCCTTTTTGGCGGGTGTTTATACTTGCTGTGATGCTGCGGATTTTTCTGATAGCATTTGACGCCGTACTGGCAAGGAATTCGCGGGTCATCCTTGTACGCCTGTAATTGAGCGTCCTTATCATTATCAGACGACATCGTGTAAGATATATCACACTGTTCGAGTCTTCATTATCGATAAACTAGAATTTTCACTGTGCGTCGCAGACGCACCATTGAGAGGTTAGGTTATCTGTCTTACTGTTAGTCTTTAAATATCTGTTCTTCGTAGCTACACTACGGTGTACTTTCTGCACTTGTTGCGTTGTAAACAAAAAATGCGTCTGACAGATTTCGTCCTCCCTTTTCACGATTGCATCCCCCTCACCCCAGTAAAAATGATGAATTAGCCTATTTTTACATTTTCGCTATTTCCTCCAAAATTTATACGCACTCGTTCGATTTGTTGCAAAATTTTTTACGAATCACAACAGTAGTATATATATTTTACATTTTTTTTAGGTCTAATTGAATTAATATTGATATCTTATTCCTGCTAAGTGCGTGGAATGCAGACATTTATATAACCATGATTGATCTTTATTCTTTAGTAACATTCTTTAACAAATTGTATAATATTTTCATACGTACAGTTACGTATAATGTGTATATATAATATGGATACAAAGTAATCGTAAAGAATTAATATATTATATATTGACAATAATTGAAATATAATAAAAATTCGAGACTTCTATTTACGTTCGTCTAATTAGGATATACTCTCTTCCTTCCGTCGCGTAACTTCCAAAACTGGCAATACCCTCGAATCCGCTCTCACTCTCTCTGTTCACCTCCGTCTCCGTTCCCCCTCTCGCCCGAAAATACCCTCGATAAGATACGCCGCAATCGTTGATAATGAACGAACGACTTGTCGACCCAACGAACATCACAGAAGTCACTTCTTTCGTTTTTTTTCACGGGTAGGTATACGGCCTTATTATCGTTTCTCTCTCTCTTTTAACGGAATGTTTATGCCACCGCTCGTGCCTCCGGCAAGAAACTCTCCCAGTACTTGACGAGCTGATTCTGATGTTGCAGCATCGACTCCAGATACTCGATCAGCTGCTTCTTGAAATCCTGCACTCGGACCAACTCGAAGCGCTCGACCTCCTCCTTTATCATCTTCGAGATATTGTCGAATTCCTCCTGACCCCTGTCCACCTTCGACTCCCACTCTATGACCTCGGTGGCCGCCTGGCTCGTCTTGTCCGTGCGGCCTGACTGCTCGAGCCGCGCCTTCTGCTCGCGTTTCTTGTTCAGCATCAACTGAGCGTGCTGCCAGTTTTGAAAGACCTTCACCCTCTCGTGAAAAACATCCTACGAAAGAACGTACGTGGAGAAAAGACGAAGAAGCAAAGGGGCAAAGGGCAAATCGTTGACACCAACCTTAATCGCACCGATGAGCGCGACGTAATCCCTCAGCATCTCCCCAAATTGATAAAGATCGCTGTTGCTCTGCGTCTTCCTGATCACCTCCACTTTCTCCAGAGTTTCGGCCAGTTGCGCCAGAGCTCTGCCGAGAGACGCGCCGGGTTCGCCGTGGCCAAGAACGGCGACCGACTTCGCCGTAGCGCCGGTGCAGTTCGCCAATTCCCTTCTTTGATTCGTCAAGGAATCGACCGCGGAATGTAGAGCGCGTAACTGAATATCAAGGGAATCTATCTGCGACGTTTTCTCCTCGAACCACTGCAAAAGAGTGCAGACTCTTTATTCTTTTTATTTCTTTTTCAATAACGAATCATTACTCTATACATACGGCAACTGATATGTCTTTAAACGATAAATTATTAATGTATATATTTTTGGCGTAAAATATCATGTGATAGTAATTTAATTGACAGTAGTATGGATTAAATAAAAAAAATTAAAAAAAAATCCGTGATAGATAATGCACACAAGTCGACACGTTAATTTCAAATGAACGTACCTTACCCTCCTATTGCAAGCAACAAAAAATTGTTTCACGATACTTCATAGAAAATACATGCAAGAAGGAATATGTGTTTACATTGAAGAAATCTCACCATATCGCTCTCGTCCATTTTATACGTTATCTTATTAACCGTCTCCCCGACTTTGTTGAAAAGCCGCATTACTCCTTTACCACTCAATGCAGACGTATTGGTGGCCTTGGGCAACTCTACATCTGGAAAGAAAGAAAAAGAATCACCGATATTAATCGAACAAACTTAAAATTTGTGGAAAGTTTTACATAATTTTATATAACATTCAAAGTAAAGTCATTAACGAGCATCATCATTTACCAGCTTCTAAAAATTCTCTGAAATCAGGATCGATACTCAGAACTGGATGTGCAGCCGTTCTATTCAAATACCTCTCGAGGGCTGCTCTACGTCGTTCGATAAACTCCGTGGAACTCGAATTTTGCTCTTGACTCTTGTCCCCGGACATTTTTATTTTCGTCGTTCCTGTCGATATAATTCATTGTTTCTCGATTACCCGATTACTCTCATAATAAATTTGATAAAAATAAATTTCGTATTCCTACCAATTACACTTTTCTCCGGAGCCGGCGGGATTATTCTGCCGTTCCTGAGGTACTTCTCCGTCAATTTGTCATGGAGTCCTAGGAAATCGCTGAAACGCCGAATCACGCTGAAGTTCCTCTTCTTAAAAATAAGCATGTTCGTTCTCGTTTCGACTTTGTATGCAACATAGGCACCCATTCCGTCGCCTATCTTTTGAGGCGAGGTGACGGTAATCTTTAGGAAAACTTCGGACGTGTCGGCCGGAACCTATCGTACACACATAAATATAAATATCAGTATTGAAGCTGCAATTATCGGGAGGACACGGTGTCCTGGCTCGGCGCTAAAGAATTCATTCGCCTGCGGACAGGACCGTGTTTCTTTACACATATATTAACGCAATCTTAATGCGCACCTCTTCTAAAGATCGCGAATGAATGATGCTCGTGGACAGGGTGTCCGCGTTATCATTGATAGGAACGTCATGGAGATCTCCGATGTCGGTGTTCATCGGTCCCAGGGGCGGGCTCAAGGGACCCGGGGCCGGGCTGGACATCGAGGAGAACGAGTTCTCCTCCGGCATGTCTCGCAGAGACAGTTTTGGCAATTCCGCCTGAACCTTGGACACTCCATTGTAAGGCGAGGTGTCCTCCAGTTGGCTCTGTTCCTGCGCAAACACAATTGAACGTTTCCCAATTTAGCGCTCGCAAGTCTGAAGAATTTCTATCGATACAATTTTTTCGACGGGTTGAATCGTGATGAAAAGTTTATTTTTTTTTTGTTTTTTTTTACAGGAGGGAGACCGTCGCGTTCTCTCGACGGGAGGTAACCGAAACCGATAAATTACGATGTAATCTCGACGAGAGTTCAACTTCCGGCGACGGTACGGGCGTACCGAAGGGACACGTCTCACGCCAATTGAGCGTGCGACGTGCGAGCGGAGATCGAGTCTCGCAGCATCGCGGGAGCTCGTCGGGATTACAATTTATAATCTCTCTCCTCTCCCGCGCCCCTCGCGAGTCCCGTCGTCGACTTCCCGGTAGATCGCCACGCTACGCTATGGTACCTGCACCGCGGACGCGAAGATATCCTCGTCGTCGTCCTCGAGATCGTCCAACTTTGTCTCGCTGGTGTCAAACAGCGGCGGCGACTCCGTCATATCGGCCATCTTCCTCGGTTCTGTCAAGCAACGGCGACGGTTACGCACCACGATCCGCAGGCAGGGATCGGCCCCCCTGACGACGATTACGCCGACGACGTCAAGACAATTATCGCTGTCGGTATCGGCGGCTGTGTGTATCGGCTCGCGAGCACGCAAGTTCGTTTCCGCACGAGGAGCGAGGCACCGGATCGCGAGTCGCGACGCCGACTGATCCGTTAAAATGATCCCATTGTCATCCCCGCGGTCCACACTTGTCCGCGTGTCAACGGCGTCAACGTGGCGAGCCGCCTGCCGCACTCTGCCGCCGTATAGTATACGTAGGTCCGTTCGTTTTAAAGGCGTTATTGCCAAAGTTGTTTCCTAGAGTTTGTTTCTTCCAGCCACTTCCAGCTACAATAATATATCCTTTATTATTCTTTTTTTTTATCTTTGCGTTTCAATGCTTTCGTTCGTCGTCTCTCTTTTTGTCTCCGCTATAATGCCTCCGGTATTTATTTTATTTCAAATGCGCAAAAAACGCGATAGGAAAAATCTGCTAATTCCTTTTAAATGCATTAAATGTGTATGACATATGTCTATTTTAATTATATTTTCTCTCTCTCTCTCTCTCTCTCTCTCTCTCTCTCTCTCTCTTTTATATTTATTTTTATAAAATTAGATTCGCTTGTTTTGTCCAGTTTTTACAACAGAAGAAAGAGATATTCAAAGTTTGCAAATATTTTAATAAAAATAAATATGTGCAAGAAAAGAAAAGATAAAAAAAGAAAAAAATTAAAACCTATATATATTCACGTTTATCCGTAAAAAAAACCTATATGTCGTGGATTAAGATTAATTCGATTTTTTTATAGAAACGAGAAAAGATAAATATTGTATAAAAAAAAACAATGCGCTTCCTGTATCAAAAAAAGAGACATAAAAATAAATCAAAAAGCAAAAAAACGGAGGTAAAGAAAAAAATAGACTTCACGTCTCAAAGAAGACTCGATATATAGATTTATATTTTGTAGTTGAATTTTTTTTGTTCCTTTCACAACTTTTTTCTTTTTCTCTCCAGTATATTTATATCCATCTTATTTTACATGCAGAACGTGCGACACGGCGACGGCGCAGCCGTACTAAATCATGAGTCAGACTCTCAAGATACAAGACAGAAAAGAAACCTTCCATATCGACTATACCTGACTGTGTCGCGGGAATGAAAGGAAGGTTTGAATACCAAATGAAGGTAGAAGCGTGAGGGAGGTCGGCGGAGATGGGGGACTCGACCGCCTCCCCCCCCCCGCGCTTTCACCACCCGATGGTTGAATCACGGCCGACGGTGCCGCGCGGTGAGTCGCGGGTCGCGGTGACGCGGTTGCTTACTCGCCTCGGGTGCGTCAGTGTGTAGTCAGTGGTAGTCGATGTCAGTTGGTGTGTGTCGGCATGTCACGGATGTGACAGGTCCGACAGGTCGGTGTCGCCGCGTGACTCCGCATCCACACGCCACTTCATCCGAATCCTGCGAACGCTTCGCGAGAAGGAGAGTATCCGCGACCGGAGAGTATCGTGATCGAGTGTTTGCCCGACCGCTCTGCATTTGGGACCACAATCGGAGGCCGCGCGAAAGCCACGATGATGCAGGTAGGACTTTAATTTTTTTTTTTGTTTTCTTTCATTTCACTCAAACTTTTCGCGCACGCTCGAGGCAGCGAGAGAGGAGAGGAAACCGCGCGAGAAACGATCGAGCTGAAGGGAACGTGCCGCGAGGAAATCTCTCTCTCTCTCTCTCTCTCTCTCTCGGACGTGCGCGATTGAGAATTCGCGTTTAGCGGCGTCTCTCATGAATATGCAATAGAGACGCTGCGACGCGGACGCGAGGTGCTTTTGGAATTTCCCGCAATTCCCGTGCGCGTCCCGCTTTCGCGCGGTCACGAGATTGCGCGAAGGAGTTTCCCAGCTGAAAACGTACGGATTAATAAAAATGTGCCGAAGAAAGAGGTCGGATTCGTGAAATGGCTTGAACGGCGGCGGGAAGATTTGAAAAGAATTTAAATGACAAAAAGGAGTTTTAAAAGACATGTAATTAAATAAGAATTAAGAAAATAAATTCACAAAGTTATGTATTCCAATAAAAGAATGCCTATGAATCTCTCACTCTTTCTTCGAGGTTTTGGGACTGATTTCGAAACGTTTTCTATTATTTTTCTGTCGTCGATTTAACAACGTAGGTGCCAACAGAAAGAGAAGTATTTGTCCTTCATAAAAAAATTGATATTCTTTTTAAATCTTTCATAGTGAAAATGAAAAGAAGTTCAGTATACTTTCAGAAACATCCGATTTTAGGACTCAGATTTTGTGTCGCGATTTCACAGAATCCAAATTTCTATCGATTTATTTCAATTCACGAAAAAAGTCAATTGTTTCCATTATATGAATTTCCGATTCTTCTTTCGTCTATCGTGATTTTTAAACTGACTGAATGAGTATCTTGAAAATATATGCAGATATTCCTTTCACTGTTGGTTAATTCATTAATTACTGATGTCACAACGGTTAATTAAGATTGTTTGGTCTACGAAAATAAGTGATTAATTAGACTAATGATTAGTCATGAAGGCTAATAATTACCGGAATAATCACACATATTATCTTTGGAACTAATCAGAAAATAATGGTTAGTATCTAATCTAATCTAATCTAATATAGAATTAAAGACAAACGTAATTTGCATAAACGTGTGTACAATTTTTTGATCAATCTTCTTTCTGAGTCGATCTCATTTAATAATTTTACATATGAGTTATTCGCAAACGAAAAAGCTTTCGCGGAAACTTACAACTAGTCTAGTATTAATACTTCCTTATTTTGAAAGCGTCTTACATAAAACGTCTTAATAAAACGCTAATACAGCTCTATGATAGGTTTATGACGGTATACCTAAGCCAGTCTTAAATATATAAGAACTATGAATTCGGGTCATAACCTTCACATGAAACTAAAATTTTTTGGAGGTTTCAACAAATTCATAATTCGTGAATTTTTTATGAAAATATATAGCCATATAAAAACATTCGCGAACATATTCATAATTTGAAAAAATACAAATTGCGCATTTTAGTAAATATTTGTCTAAAACCGCTATGTGTGTTCATACAGAGTATATTTCGATCAAATATGTGAAATTTGTCATGCATAAAAATGCAAAAAGATATAAACGAATATTTTTGTTTAACTACTAGTAGTTTAACTAGTAAATTAAGTAATTTAGAAACGAAAGTATTAATCTATTTTGCGGCACAGATCCAAACAATCCTTTTTATAAATATTAAAAATTAAATAGTTGCAGCGTAAAAATAATTTGTGTTTTTTCAAATTCATATTTTTTTCTATCATATAAATATATACACAATCTTTCGCATTTTAATATAACGGGATAAATAGTAGATTTGTTCCCATGTACGGATTGTGCAATTTTATATATGATTCTTGTCATTTTACTGTAACTTTCATTTTACTTTTTTCTCACTTGTTTTTGATTTCTCGCGATTCATTTTGGTGTAATTAGGAAGATGAGTTGTATGATATATACTGCCTATACAGGGACTGGGAAAAATTAAGCGAGAAAAATTTACATTCTAATTTCGCAACATCGGCATTGTGTACTTTTGTAATCAGTGAGATATCTTCATCTCAATAAACAATTGTACATATTATATATACTATGTATATGTATATATAATTGTTTAATATTTCAGAATCAATCTTACTTTAATGAAAATGTTAATCGAATTTGTTGTTTGTCACGACTTTTCAATGTTTTTAAGATCAAGCAAAACAGAGATAAAAGAAGGTACTCGAATGGTATATTCATAATTTACGCGTTTTGGACGTGTATAATAATATTTATCGTTTAGATATGCATTACATGTGTCTAGACTCCAGATAAAGACCGCAATTTATGATTTTATGATAGTAAAATACGCTGCGACACATGTAGATCTACGTGTGTGTGTGTATTTTGTATTTTGACACGTCTTGATAAATATTTTGAAATTTCTTGGTAAAATAAGGTAAAATAAAATTTTTTAATTGCCATGGTTATAGTTTAGTGGTATAGTTTAGTGATAATTTGTTGTTGATTATATTCATACACATTTTATGTAGATATACCGTGCATAATGCATGTTATAAATATTATGTACACACAAAATGCATAAATTATAATTATGCATTTGAATACTTTCATAAATGTTTGTTCTGCTTAATCTTGAAAAAATTAAAAAGTGATGAACGACGAATTCATTAATATTTTTATTAAAGTATAAGATTCATTTTGAATTATTGAACAATTTAGCAAAACGCTCGTTGTAATTTCTAACAAATGGAGTAGAAGTACTTCAGAATTATGAGCTATTTTTTTCCAAATTTTTTGTTTTTCTATTAATAAAATAATATCATAGAATGAGAAATATCAAGAAATATCGAATTGATTGCGCTTAAAATTTTACTTTTACTATGTATATCAGTCGCAATCCAAATATATATATTATGTTAGCAACAAAAACGAAGAAATCTACAATAAAAAAGGTGACTCATTAGATCTGTATTGTATCGCTTTATTCGTTGTCATAAATAGTAAATTCGAAAAAACTGGATTTTGCTGTTTTTTTTCAATTTCATATATTTGACTTATAATTGCATTCTTTCGTTAGAAGCTAAGGAGAATTACCTGACTGAGGTAGGAGAACAAATTAAACTACTTACTTTGTGGAAGTAAATCATATTCAATCATTAAATAGATTGTGATTGCATGATCATGTGCTTAATACATAAATTATCGTAATGATACTTATTTTGATGTAAAAGAGAACGAAGAATACTAAATATTAAATTATTAAATAACTACATTATAACTTATAATAATTATATATTTATAATAATTGAATTTCAACACACGAAGAAATGCCTTTTGCTATTTTATTTTAAATATTAAAGTAATATTTTCTTTGCATTTACTATATCCATCTATTTTTATATTCTTTCTAAAATTGAATCAGTGCAATCACCACTGATTCTCAGTGTACTTGACTCAGTGTAAATGTAATTATGATAAACAGTGAAATATTTCAATATTGTTTCAGTGATGATACATACATTGATTCAGACAGTGAATATCATTAAAAGACAGTGATTTTCACCGTCTTTCAGTAATAATTCACTGTTTGAATCAGTATAATATCACTAAAACAACATTGAAATATTCTACTGTTTATCACAGTTATAAATATACTGAAAATCAATGGTGATTCAATTTTAAAGAGTAGTTGTATTGAAAATAGATACATTTCTTGTTATATTAAAAAATATACTTTTTATTAATAAAATCATGTAAAAATATCATTTACAAATATTGCTTAATATGACATTTTATATCTTTATTTAATCTATTTAATCTAAAAGTTGAAATATTACAAATAAATTGTTTGTGCAAAAATGATATCATAAGATTATATTTTTTAAAATTTGATTTACGTAATTTATATACTTATCCTATTATTAAATATTAAATTTAAAATGTAAATATTAAACTGACACGAGCTACAATAAATTAATGTCATATCGCGCGAGAACTTGATAGATCTATAAATTTATCAAATAAGCAAGAATTAATTCTTCCTTTTACCCGTAACATAAAGACCCCAAAAAGGTCGAATGAGGGCAGAGGCGTGCATCTGCACGGCGCGACGCATTTTCGGAGCCAACCGAATCGACCTCGGGGTTCACCCCGGGGTTCCTATATTCAAGAGGGGGCCGGAAGATGCTGGATGCGAAGGGCCCTCCCGACATAGAGAGAAGGTCTCGCACAATGCGCGACGCAACTGTAAACCGTGAAGAGCGGGAGCACGCACGGAGTGCGTTTGGCGGCGGTAACGACAACCGCGACAACGACGACGACGTTGGTGGTGATGGCGATGGTGGTGGTTGTTGATGGTAGTGGGGAAGCAGGGTGGGTAGAGAGAACATTTAATTTGAGCTTGCGAGGAAGTAGTTGATTGGAGATGCGAGGTACAGCTCGTTGGCGGGCAAGCAGTTGCAGCTCGACCGTCGGTCTCGTTAGACCTTCCGGGAGACCTTCCCTTCGCTGAGGTCGATCCCAATCGCGATCGATTTCGCAAACGCACGTGCGCGCCCTTTCTTTGAAGCGAGACCGCGCTGTTCTTTTTTTCTTTCTTTACGAGGCCACGAACCCCAGCGATGAGCCTGGACCGACTCCGTACTCCGACTTCTCACTGCATCGCGCGGAAATTCGCAAATTCCACGTTTATCGAGCAGCCACGTGAGAAACGATAATCAAGTTCTCCGACGCGAACGAGCTGGTCGGTCCAGTCGACGACGATACGTCGCGTTGATAAATTCTAAATCTCGGGATTGAGCGCAGGTACTTTTTCGCGTTACCATTGAGGATTGCCGATGATAATTTGTCGTGTGCTTGGTGCGCCTCGTGACATTTCGCTTTAAACTTGGCTTGGATTCCGTGTAGGATGTACAGGTCTCTCTCTTTCTCGAATGGCCTATCTGCTTCAATTAAGTAGGCAGGTTTGGAATCCAACGTTTAAGGTAACGAAAAATTCGTAAATCTCTTATTGTCGCAAATATTTTAAAGTATTCTAAAAACCTTATTGTCACAAATATTCTAGAGTATTCTAAAAAAAGTATTTAAAAAAAAGAAAATGCTTCTATATTCCATACCCATTCTAATATATATAATCTGCAATACAATCTAGAAAGATTCAGATTTAAAAAATAATAAACTTTATTTATATTTGTGTCATAATTTACTCATATTTTTTAATAATATGTTTACAGTTTACTTTTTCGACGGAATTTATAATTGCATGTCAAAAAATTAGAAGACAAAACAACGTGAAAAGTGTAAGAGATGAATGTAATGTACACACAATCGTAAATATGCAAATTTAGCATTGTTTATCTCGCCCGTATCCGTACTACATTTATATACGTAATTCAGCTTCATACGCAACTAATTAACATAATACAGCTCGAATTTTTAATTGTATTTGCCAGCTATAATTAAAATATCTGTCTGACGCGATTGTCATAGATCTCCCCTTTTTCTCCCTTTTTTTTTATTTCGCGTTGTCGCGACAGCAATTTTGTCGCCGGTATTTCACCGCATTGAACCGAAAAATCGACCGTAAAAGTGTTTTATCTAACGACACATGAAAACGGAAATTCTCGATAACAAAAAGGTATAGCGCATATATCTAAAAATTACGAGTGCGTTTGGAAAGGATAGTTAACCGTAATTATTATTTGCCGCGTCGAAAAATTACGAGTGCGGTCGAACATAAATTTTCATTCTCTCTTTCTAGGAACGACTGTTAGAATGTACACTATTCGGTGCATTTCGAGTAATGGTATCGATAGCACCTGTATGATTACACGTTATGCAATAGATAATCCCATTTTTTTATCAACAGATAGAAAGCACATGATCTATTTTAAGAATTTTTATTAAAAAAAACTCTTACCTCGTAACACTTTCCGATGTAGTAGTTATTGCGCAGTTTATCGCAAACAAATAATAATAATAAAATATATACAGCAGTTGAGTTATATAACAAAATTTGAAGTTGCACAATCAAACAATGAAATATCAGCAAAAGTGCTGTTTGAGAATCCAAATCTGAGAACTGATAAAAAAATTAAGAACGGATAAAAAAATTAAAATAAAAACGCAGTAGTACAAGATGCATGGTAATAAAAATTATGATTAAGAAAATAGTGAAGATATGAGTATTGTACAATAACAAGATGAAAATTAAAAATTATACAGTGAAAAGATAATACAAAATTAAATTAAAAATAAGAAATAAACTGAACAACTAAAAGAAAAAAAATAGAAGCGGAGCTGAAAAATCGCAAACACATTTCTAAATAAAGAAGACTAAAAACTGAAAAATAAACAATTAAAATAATATATAAAGTAAAATGAAAGATAAGACCAATAGGAAGATAAATAATTAAAGATAGATATTGCACACACAATAGATATTGAGAGACAGCATGCTGTCATTATCAAATCTGTGAATTTAAATGTAATGAAGGAGAAAGAAGAGCGAATATCGGAAGGTAAAAAGAATTGTAGGGTACACAATGTACAATTTATCAATATACATAAGACGCATTAAAAAGCTAATGAGAACTTTGCCAATCTGTCAACTTTTGAATCAGATTGTGGGAACTGCCGTTCGCTGATCTGTCGAAATTGATTGCGCTATTGTGCGGCAATATCGCTTTCAAGACAGATTTAGCTGTTATTTTATCTGTTGAATCCTTTACTGCCGTCAGTGCACACGAGCGAGTTCATGAAATGTTTCTTACAAATACCTCGCAGTCAATTAATTGCAAATGTTTTAATTTTTAAGTCTTAATCGAGGTCTAAGTGATGCGTATAATCTGTATTTACTCTCCATAAATTAATAAAATTTAAATTAAATCTTGTTTACCATGTTAATGTTTGTGTTGGAGAGCTCTGTGTGCCAAGCTCATTATTTATTTACTCGCAACGTTAATAAAATCAGCTTTTTAATAGATAAAATTATCAATTTTTCGCATGATATATGTATAATCTCGTAGATTACTTTATCTTGCTGTATTTACTAAAATTCGGGAAAACAAGAAAATTCACAGAAGAGAAGATGCTCGATTTCCTCAAAATCGCGGACATATTTGCATGAGCTATATGTTGCTTTTTTTTAATGACACAAATCATGTCTTATCGTCGGTGAACAAACGCGCGTGTGACGGACGACAATACCACGGACACAAATAGTGCTTGCGAGGATGGGGAATTGTGCAAATATATCCACGATGAACGTGAAAAGATTAAAATTTATCATGGGAAAGGGGAATAACGACACGTGCGAGCCTCTCGAATTGACGCGAGTAATGAAAAATGATGCGCAGAAAGTCGCAGGAACGCGTACGCAACGTTTGCGTCCCTCGCGTTTACACGCGAAACCCCCTCGATGTTGTCCGACGGGGTCCCGCGTGAGGTCGTTTTCCCCCTAATTATTTCATAGTGGATGACCGAGTTGGACGCGCACCTATATAGTCCCCCTCCGCGAAACGCGGATATATATTATCGCGTTTTAGAGCGCAAGTGTCATTAATCGATGCAACGACGACGTCGACGACGTCCGATTAACCGCCGGATTTTCCGCTTGGAACACCCTCGATTATCTCTATTTACGATAGACGAAAGATCACATCCTGGATTTAGGTAGCCAAGTTTCGAATTTGTATATTTATTACGGTAAATTGTGAAGAATATACCGCGAGGGAATTTACAGTAAAATTTCGAGTGCGATGCGCAAAAGCCAGCTTAAAGTTATACGTTTTCGCTGTATGCATCGTATTTCGTATGTAAGATTGAACAAGAATCG